GTTACTGTAACTTCCATTTCGGAATTATTTGTATCCTTCATTTCAACAGTTATCAGAAGGCAGAATGAGACATTAAATCATAATTATATCTCAATAACTTTACTTTATACTTTATAAAAAGAATATTTTCATTGTAACTTTCTTGTTGGAATTACTTTTAGTACAGAGATAATTGCTTAGAAAAAAGATAGTTTCAATTATGAATTAGAAAATTTAGAAGTTTTTTTTTTTTTTTTTTTTTGAAAAGTACTGTTAAAGAAATAGTCACTTCAATTTTAGCACAAACATTGAAATATTTAACTTAAAATGAGATTTTAGGCTAATTAGTAAAATTTGATATACGATTAGCTAATTGAAACTTGTTGAACAATACCATTATATTGAAATTAAGAATAAAATTGATATTTTTTTTTTTTTTTTTTCAAAATTTCAGCTGGAGTTTAACAGCTATAGCAATTGATAAATTTGTTCATATTATGGGGCCAATTCGTGCACCTGTATCCATAAGCCAAGCAGGCCTAGTTACTGCTTTTATCTGGGTGGTTAGTACAATGATTAATATACCATATCTTATGAGTTATGAACTTGTTGATGGTGCATACTATGTACCAAATAATACTGCACCATTCTGTGGTCTTTTTTGCGATGAAATTAATTGGAATGGTGAAATGCCTCGACGTCTCTATGGATCATCTGTTGTTCTATTACAGGTAAATTTGAAAAAAAAAAAAAGTTAAATTTAAGCACTGACAGTAGATTGGTCGATTGGAATTAATAGAATTTTGATATTTTCTTCTTCACAGAAAGTTATTGTTATTTTCTCTTTGTGCTTTTTTTTTTTTTTTTTTTTGTAAATAAAACTAAAATATGAAATTGAAAGAAATTGTTTAGTTTGTTATTCCATTAACAATTATAACATATTGCTATGCTCGAATATTAGCAAAAGTTGCCAGTGATATGATTATTCAAAATGTACAATTCAGTAAAAGTTTATCAATTGCTCAACGTGAAGAAGCAACAAATCGAAGAAAACGAGTAAGTTAGATGAAGAAATTCGTTCGTAAATTTTGTTAAGTATTAATAAAATTGAAAAAAAGATTTTGTAAATTTGAAAATGATATATTTTGATAATTCTCACTTATTATCTTCTTATCATTAATGAATGAAAAAGATGATGCAATTTCATTTGAGACTTTCTTGGGAAAATATTTAATGCTTTGGGATGATTTATTTAAAAAAACTACAAATATGATTAACTTATTGATAATTGTTAAATTGTAAGCAATATGTTAAAAATTCTACACAAATTATCAATTGGTATTTTTTTGAACTGATCAGATTTTTTTTTTTTTTCTCATAGGTTAATTGAGATTACTTATAGGTTAATTATATACTTATCGGTATGGTAATTGCATTTATCGGATGTTGGCTGCCACTTACAGTTGTTAATATGCTGAAAGATTTTAGTAAATTATTATTTCTTTCTTTTATTTAGCATCAAAAATAAGAAACTTTCAAGATTTATCTTATCATTTGTCATTTGATAAAATTTTTACAAAGAATTGATAAAAACTATGAATGAAGAGAGCTTATCACCTTGATATTTCAGAATTAGAACCATTGTTTCTGCTCGAACAACCATTCTTCTGGCCATTATTAGCTCATGTGATAGCAATGTCAACTGTCATCTGGAATCCACTCCTCTTTTTCTGGCTAACAAAGAGGAAAAAAGCGCACACACAAATGCCACGTTTCAGTGTTTCATTTAATGCATTTGGCACAACAATTTCGCGCATTAGTTCAATGCATCGTAAATCAAACGCATTTCGCTCCACTGCTTGGTAATATATGTATATATCTCATTTTATGCTAATAATTGCATTACTAATTTCATTTTATTAAATTAAATTATCAAAAGATTTGTTTAGTTGAATTAGTAGAGAGATTAGGTAAGAGTTATTTTAATTGTTGAATTAGTAGAGAGATTAGGTAAGAGTTATTTTAATTGTTGAATTAGTAGAGAGATTAGGTAAGAGTTATTTTAATTGTTGAATTAGTAGAGAGATTAGGTAAGAGTTATTTTAATTGTTGAATTAGTAGAGAGATTAGGTAAGAGTTATTTTAATTGTTGAATTAGTAGAGAGATTAGGTAAGAGTTATTTTAATTGTTGAATTAGAATTAACAAACAAAATTTTACTTCTAGAAATTGAATTTTTATTTTTTAATGTGAGAAAAGTAAATTAATATTAATATGCTATATTAGTCTGAATATTATAAAGCTTGTAATAAATATGATGAGTTTATTTATAGTATTATTTGGCATAGATGTATTCCGGAATCGTTTGATGGCACTTATTGCAGCATGTTAAATAGAGAACCATCAAGCAGAAATGATATGCAAAAATCACATCTCAGGAATGGTTTGACAAATTCGAAGAATTATCTAACCATAGAAGCGGAACGATTGATATGAATGAAATAAACGTTTATAAATTGCTTAAATAAAATGAATGATGCATAAATAGAATAATCGATGAATGGAATTAATCGGAAGAAATTTGTAAATTTTTGACTCAAAGAGGAGAAAGAATTTTTGATTGAGTATATTAATGTGCCTATATTTTATATAACTTCTCTTCTTATCATTTACCAGTTAACCAGTTATTTTCCTTTCTAAAACAAATGCTCAAATGTTCAAATCTTTAATTGTTGAATTGATTTGTCTACAATTGTATATTTTATGCTTATTATCAAATCTGCTAGAGTAATAATTGAATATTACTAAATCACTCACTATCTATACTTTTTTCTAATACAGAGAAAAAAAAATGAAAGAAATATGCTGAAGAACATTTAGATCAATAATTTTATACAAACTTTTGTAAAGTTTTGAACAAATTAATATTGGTATCAATTTGGAGTACCAATAATTTCGCCTTTTTTTTTTTTTTTTGTATATATTGGATATTGCTAATTGCATACAGATATGAATTATGTTACTAAAGATTGTACATAAAAGAAACTAAATTACTTACCACGGAAGAATAAGGATCAATTATTCGTCGAACATTAACGAATCACTGTGGAAGAACAAGGATCAATTATTCGTCAAACATTAGTGACCACCGCGGGAGAACAAGAATCAACTATTCGTCGAAATCAACGACCCTCACCATCTTAATATGCTAATAAACGACTTGAGGACTCTTTATAACCACCATATTACTTGAGAGTTGGGTATTCAGAGTACCGTTCCGATGAAAAACCCTTCTTCTTGATTCGTCTTGTCCACTAACAATGCCCCGGAAAATGGAAATTTCAATGAGAATATACGAGTATTTACTAAGATATTATCGAAAATATAACACATAAGTAACTTTGGGATGAACAAAATACCAAAGAAGCCACAGGTCAACTAAGCAGCTTCAAATGACACTTGTCAACAAAACTGGTATCCTTTAACAGTCCTTGGTCAACTTCCAGTGCAGAAAAACGGAATGATACAAAATATGAAGTGTTACCAATTTATTAAAAATTCAACATATTAAGAATGGAAAATGTATAGAAATATACAAGGAAAATATGCTCATATAACAGTAACTTCTATGTGATACCCATCCTCCACACTACACATCGGATCCATCACAGTATCTCAAAAAAAAAAAAAAAAAGAAAATCAACTTCCCTTTTCCTAAAAGACTTTTCAACCTATCAACTGGTAACCACATCACCTGAATTTTGAGCATTATCCTCATTTCGAACTAAGAAAACTTATCTAACTGGCACAGTAAAACAAACCATCAAAACTATTCTTACGTTAAATGTAAGCAGACCCTATAACATACTTGAAAAACAAAATTTAAAACCAAGATTTGCTATAAATTTGCTACAATACCTAGATGACTGATAATATACGATGCGAAACATTAAGCAGAAAAACAGCGAAACACGCCAAATTATAAGATTTAACTTATATGTTCAATGGCTTAGAGAAATCACAGATCCTGAAAACATCTGAGAACTTCTTCTTACCAAGAAAGAAAAACAATAATTTTTTTGGTAAAAGTAATAATAATAATAATAATAATAATAATGATAATAGTAATAACAAATATCAACAATGACAACAATGGACAAGACTTCATTGTACTAAAAATTCAACACTTACTTAGCAAAGAATACACCAGAAGATCAGCAGTGCTCTATAAAAGCTTGGACAGCAATTAAATAATTGTCAGAGCATCTCTTCAACTATTTTTGTAAATCGATTCTATGCAACGTTGGATGCATTGCTGTTTAGCATAAAAGAAAGAGTAATCAGTATTGCAAAAGAATTCATACCACAATAAACAGCTTTACGATGAATAATTACATGCATTAACATCGGCAAAAGCTGCCGGCATATCCCAGATACTTTAGAAAGGAATATCCTAACAAAGAAATATATCATTCCTAATTCAATATTATTTTGCTGAAATGAGGCTAGGACGCGTGCATACACGAAATGCATAGAAAATATACAAAAAATGAAAACTCAAAATTAAAAAAGCATGTTATCATGGAGGATGGAAATTGCGAATCTCTGAACAAAGCGTACTGCAAAGAGCACAATTGAAAGCTTAGAAAAAACAAACGAATGTCCACGATGAGTTTAGGATAACAGTATAAAAGAGGAAAGAATTTTAATAACGATCCAATGACCGAAAGGAATGTCTAGGATGCTACGAAAACTTACCACGATATACACATTATACAAACTAAAACACTGCCGAAAAGACAGGAACTTGAATTGGACGAACTGAATGACAGATTTCGGAAAATGGATGGAACAGAAGAGTGTAACGATAACAGCCGTCTGTCCATTTCAAAAACATCGAGAATATATTCGAATACCAGAGTAATTTTGATGATAGCTTGTCTATCTTTTTTGCTGCTACTCATCTTCAGCTCAGGAAAAACCATTCTAGATAAGATTACCTATGCAAGTAAGCACTTTAGTCTATTCATGTGGTACAGTAGACAAATAAGGATCATGTCGTCGATGCTCATCCAACGCTCGATCAGTGTTTGGATCATGCGGCAGTTCGCTCTTTCGACGCACTAACGGCCGTTCTTGGACATAGTCTACCGCCTGAAGGTAAAGCAATTATTCTTTTATGAAAAGAAATGAACGAATTTTTAAAAAGAACAAAGTCAATTCACATTTAACATACGTACATATCGTGCTGCTTGTTGCTTGATTTTTGTTGGATCCACAGGTTCTATTCCTGCATTTTCATTAATCGAAAGTTGTGCTAATGAACTACAAGTATTCTGCAACTGTTGACTGACTTCCGAGAACTAGAATGTATACAATTTTCATTAACAGAACTGATAGGATGTGGAGGAATAAGCCAAGTATATGAAGAACTCTTAGCACAGGGTGTTTATTCATAAAAAGAATTTTAATCATTTGATTAAATGAATAAAAGTGTATTCATAAACCTGAGGATTTTGACGTGCTTTCCTTTCGATCATTTCCCACTTCAGTATTTTTTCCTTCAATTTAGTACTTTCGTCTTCACGTTCACGATTAAAATTTTGAGAGCATTCATCGAAAAGCCTCTGATTAATTTCCATAAATAATTTGAGTGCATTATAAATAAGCCCATGAATTGTTCTATAACAAATAACGTATTAACGAAGACAACTAGTTTATTTCTAATTCACTGGTTCGTCTGTAAGTCCAAACCTAAACAAAAAAAGTAGTTGTAGTCTTTTACGTAAAAAGTGACAAAACTGGTTTACTTGTTCCAGTGATTTTTCGAATTTCGATAGAGCGCAGGAAACATGATGGGTAAGATCACAACAGCATTGTCACTGATTAATGACATGACATATTCATTGTTCCAATAATAAAGCGCTCTTTCGGCTACCTAAAACAAAAATTCTTGGAGGCTCATGTGCATTTCTCATAATAAATAAAGAATGAATAAAATAAAATCTGCCTTTCTCCTTTACTATTCCAACACGTGCAAAACCATTCAACAATCATATTATATTAACCCGTTCTCATCTTTATAATAAACAAAAACTGCATTAACCTGAAAATGTGGTGAAGAAACACATCTTGCTAGCTGCTGGAAAAGCGGTACCATCACCTTTTGAAATTCAGCTGGCTCAATGACATCCAAAATCTCCTCAAACTCATTTAAAAACATTACCTGTAAAATGAGCATTAATCAGCCACTGCTACCGAAAAAAGCAGTTTTATGCTCTTTTGAAAAAAAAAAAAAAAAAACCAAATATTTCCATTTGTTCTTATATAGTTTTCAGTTTTATGCTTTACACTACTTATCAAATCGCAACCTCTTTTGGGCTATGAACTTTGGGCCAGAATTTGAGCAGAGATAAGATCACTGGTTCAGTGAGAGTAGGATCTTTCTCCAGGAATTGAACCACACAATACGCCAACTGTGGGTGATATACAGAGAGAGATTTTACCTAAAACAATAGGAATATACAAATAATAAGAGTATTACAAGAATTAGGTCATATGACTTCAAAATTACATTGAATAAAAAAAGATTATTTACTAAATATCATATCACAGAAAGGGAAGAGTACTGGCAGTAAATATCTTACAGGATATAATAATGATAGTTCTCTTTAACAGACAAAGCAACTTTACTTTGTGGAGAGGAATAAGAACACGAAGAAGAAATGTTTTATGCTCCTCTTTTAGCGGTAAGGCGAATCCATTGATGATACTGCCAAGTATTTCCAAAAGCTCGGCAATACCATTATGTCGTTCAGTTTCATAAATGAATGTATAAAATATATTATTTATATGCTTTCTCATGAAAGCCCTAAGACCCAGAAATTTGCCATAGATCCGATGAAGTGTCGTCTTTAAGAAATCACGCTCTCTTGGATCTTCACTATCCGACAGTTCGATAAGCTAAAACATAAATGAATAATATATGACTTCAAAATTATGTTAAATAAAAAAAGAAATGAAAGTCGTCATTATTAGTTTATGTTGAAAAGGGCTGAAGATATATGAAGATTTTAAGAGATTAAAATTAAAATATTGGACAACTACAGTTTGGTTTCTAACTCAGCGCCTTAAACAACAACTAAAAAAAACGTAGAGAACACAGTGGAATATTTTTTATACTAATACCTTATGCTCTGGCAATATCTGCCTAACCAACATGAAATCCATACCTTTAAGACAAATTTCTGGTCAATATAACGCTTTGCAATACTCGGTTGAAAGTCTGCTGATTCCAGGAAACGCAAAAAAAACTCATACACCAGCTGCAACATAAATCTAAACAACTTCCTACAGAATTAATTAAGCAGCAACTTATTCTCACTACACACATTTGATTCATAGTTGTTTATAATGGCTCTAACAATGTCATGTAGAGAAAGATCCCTTTCAAATATTCGACGAATAAACTAATGGAATTTTTGCTTTGGGAATACGTAACTTTTTCCGCACCAACCTCATACCTCAATTTTCTTGAGAGGTATTAGTTGAGTAATCGAAAAACTAACATGGCTTACTCATTAACTGCAAGAACGTTATCATTAAGATGAACTTAAATGAGCTGAACTAAATATATTACTGAACAAAAACTGGAAGTTTTTTTTTTTTTACCTCATCTGCGACCTTTACTTTCTTTTTTTGTATAAGAACAGCTTCAAATTTCTATAATAACCTGCAAATGAGGCCAAGCAGCTTCTAATGTGGGTTCATCTTCATCTGGATCGAATTCAGCACCCGTTGGATTTGACGGTGGAGATAAGACGCGGAAAAGATTAGAACCGAGCTAAAATATAATATTAATTAGGCTCAATGAAGATTTAGATTTTTGTGATCATCTCTTCAGTCTGTAACAATGAAGAATTAACAGCCCATGACACCACAGGCACCTAAATAGTAGTGGAACCATATATTTTATCCATACTTTCGTATCCGAAAAAACTTCGAAAAAATCGACTTAAACCAATGTAAGAAAAGAAGCACTGATAAAAAGAAAGAGAGCTTACTGGCAAGAGAAGCGAAAAAGCACATTAAATAAGGACAGTACATTAAATGTAAAGTTTACCATGCTAATAACTTCTGGATATATAGCTTCCGTAACAACATTCTGACAACTAAGAATGTAATCTGTCAGTTCGTTCAACGTTGTTCGCTTTACCTGCATGAAAAATTAAAACTATAATTGATAATACAAAAATACAGATCGTTTTTGATCATAAAATAAAATACGTAGTATTTTGAAGAAACCCACGATACAAAAAGATGAAACAAACTTCTTTATATTTCAAGTCTGACAAAGGATCAACAGCAAAATCAAAAACAACTGAACACTGGCGTAGCTTCTGGATAAACAGTTCCTCTCGTGCGTTAGATTCGGCATCTAAAAATTATGTAAACCATCCATCATTTACATAGACAAATCTCAGTACGACTTTTTAACATTTATTACTTATTGCTATTGAAAAAAGAAAATTACTTGAATGCTCATTATAAAGGTTGAATATATAGCAAGTTAAGTTACACAAAATAACTGATACTACTAATGGAAGAAAAAACCTTTTATATTCGGCAATTTCACAAGTTCTCGATTGGTGGATACTAAAAATAAAGAACTGCTTTGTCTTCGATCACGTCTGGTTAGTGCTGGTCCACCCGCAAGTGCTTGCTGCAAAATTACACACTACCATTACAAAGAGTTGCAAAATATCAAAAAAAAAAAAAAAAAAAAAAAAAGATGAAGACCAAAAATGATATCTGAAGAAAAAAACCGATTCTAAGATATCTTTCTTTCTTTCTAGTATACCTTTTTTAGAGACGTTGGAGGTGGAGCATCAGCTGGAATTGTTTCATCAGAAACATCTTCCGCCTTGATTTGGGGAATCGATGCTGCTGTTGCTGTTGTCATCCCATTCATATGATTGTTAGCGCCTGTTTGCTTCTCTTCTTTCTTGTTAATCTCGTCCTTATTCTCTTTTCGTATTTTTTCTTGCTTTTTCTCTTCTTTATCGTTCTGCAAAAAAAATAAGACGCAAAAGTGATGAAAACTTTACATGAACTATTTGACATTAACTACAGTGAAATATTATAAAACAACATGTCTGATTTACATGTCAATAAAAACTTTTGCTTCGGTATTAAACTCACAAGTTTATCCAAAAATCCCGAAAGAAAAAGATGATAAACTATTTCCGGAGAGATATCTTTAAAACAAACATGCTTCTTCCTCCTAGAGCTCTTATAATATCTATTAGCCATAAGTATTCAAAGATACATACTTTGCCGTCTTTGTCCTTTTTGCGGGACTTGAGCATGCTATTGGCGAGCAGACGGCTCTCGCGAAAAGTAGAAGTAGCTCCGGCAAACAGTTTGAATTCTTTTTGAATTGTGCTTCACAAACGTACAACAGTAACCGATCGTCCGGTTGATTTTGCAAACATCAAACACGTAGCATATCTCTACATCATTCAAATATTAGAGCACGATACCCATAACATTCACTGATATTGTCAGCATATCAACAGATATCAGTCAAATTCCACATACACTATACCCAATGATAAGAGGAGTGCTGAACCAAAGAAGGAAAATTCCATTGCTATCTTCTCCACTCATTTCCAATTTATTTCATCTCCTCACAATCTAAAATGCTCATTCGCCGGAAGAAAACGATCACAGCAAACCAAAATTCCAATTTCACTATTACCCTTTCTGCAACCCATCTCACAGCAACCTGTCAATTGGGTAAATATCCACCCGCGCGAACAATCTTTTTACAACCAAACACTGAGCTTCAAATTTTAAACGCGGCCCAACAGAGACTTCATGCAAAGTTACTCGTCTCCATTGTGATTGCTAACTTGGAGATAGGAACAGGTAGATGTCATTGTGATAAAATTTCAGGAAGTATCTCTGGAGGGATTAAACTATTCCATTTCCACATGTTATGCTAGACTAGTAGTTATGTGGAGAAATGTTAGCAGTGAACAGTAAATAAACAAATAAAAGTTAGAAAAGAACAATGATAAACATTGATAGCATTCCTAGCAACACTGATAATTTGATAGTTTAACTTGAACTTTTGCTCTCTTTCGCTTCTCTTTTCAATTTTCTATGAGAAATTGCTTTCAATTAATATTTGAAAATTTTTAGCATATGTAAATTGTCATGATTCTGTTAGGTATGAGAATGAGGAAACAAAATATATACATTTAGTGGTGCTTTTTTTTTTTTTTTTTTTTTAATGATATAATTTGAAAACAAGAAATATTTGATGAGAACATGTAAATATGCGCTATATTGTGATCATTTCTCGAGTTCAAATCATTTCTCGAGTTCAACATCGCTCATTGCATCACTCATTGGTAGTTTAATTCCTTTTAGTGTTTTGTAATCTTCTCGTTCTCTGTCCACCGGTGCTTTTAATCGAATCTATAATTATAATTGTAGGAGTTTTTTGGCAGGTAATTAATGTATGATAAACGATTTTGTACGTCGTTTAAATAAGCTTACGTAAACGTTTTTTTTTTTTAAAAAAAAAAAAAGAAGAAGCATATACTATTAGATTTCTAAACATTCCTTTCTTTTTTTTTTTCTTTAGAAAAAAAATAAATAAATAAGTTTGATGTTTCCGAAGGATTAGAAAAAATAAATTAATAAATAAATTTCCTAAGGCAATGATAATTTTTCAATTTACATCATCTGATCATCTTACTAACAACAACACTATTTAGCTTTCTTTCACTTATCAGAAATTCTTTCATTCAGTTAAATATTAAATATGTCAGTAAATAAATAAATCAGCATATCAGTAAATAAACAAATCAGTATATCAGTAAATAAATAAATCAGTAAATATATCAGTAAACATTATCGAGAATAACTCTCACTTCAATACTTCGTTTTGCAAGACGTTTTATTGGTCTTTTTTTAGCGAAAGAATCTTCCTCCTTCTGTTCCACCAATACATTTTCCATTGAAGATTGCGTCTTATCAGTTCGATTTCGATTATCTTTCATTGTAGGCAATGAAATCTCAATTTTTTTTGCCTTATTATTACAAATTTGCAAATAGAAATGTGTCATTTAATATTTAATATTATTTTATGATATGCTTTTTAGTATTTATTGTATTTTCATCTTTGATCTTAATTCCTTAATTCAAATAAAAGCTTTACATGATCTATTTTCACTGATGATTTCTTGCAGCACTGAGATAACATAATGTTGAATATACTGAATGTGATCAAATTTAGAATTATCCTACAAAATGACATCAAATTTCATTTATATGTCGAGAAAAATCATTGTCATTCCACTGAATGGAAGAGACATTTTGACAGATTTACCTCGTAGTTACCTGAGAATTGATTAAATCACCTGACTGATATGAAGATTGATTAAATCACCTGACTGGTATAAAAGCTGATTAACTCACCTGACTGGTATAAAAGCTGATTAACTCACCTGACTGGTATGAAAGCTGATTAACTCACCTGACTGGTATGAAAGCTGATTAACTCACCTGACTGGTATGAAAGCTGATTAACTCACCTGACTGATATGAAAGCTGATTAACTCACCTGACTGGTATGAAAGCTTCAATCCATGGATCATTCTTGCTCATAATATGAAAATATTATACTCTGTCAACCGATCTTCTGGCTATTCACTCTTCAGAATATGAAAACAATGATTGCTTCCTTTATAACTCTCTCATTTATATTTTTATATTTTGTTTTTAAGTCATCAAATAATTTATGACAATTGCTATAAGTGTCACATTTAGCACATTTATTTAAAGAAATCAGTCCAGAAAAAAAAAGCAAAAACAAAAAATAAAAAGAAAATAAATGAGTATTTCAAAATGATGCAATATTCCCATTTTGCTATTTAGGAAAATTTGGAGCAATTTGATGGATTAAAATTAGAAGAAGAAGAAGACGAAATTTTGGGAAATTATTTTTGAAGAATAAAACGGAGCAATTCTTTTGTTGCTGTTGAGTTTTTATCACTTAAGCTAGTGATCAAAGTGAAATGATCTTCGCCTGGAATAATCTGAAAAGTCAAATATTTGTTTCATTTTAGTAAAAATAAGATAAAATTAGTTATTATCAAAGAATTGATAATAATAAATGATAAGCACATTTGATCATTTCATATGCTTTGATGAGTGTTTTAATATCAAAGTTACACTTTTTTTAGAAAAAATTTATCCTTTTATAAACCAATAACCTTGTAACAATCTGATATTGTCATCGGATAACGTTTACTCACGTAATTCTCGACAATATGCTGGCTTTGCTCTTTGAACTTTGGTGATTCATCAGCACCAACAATAGCCAATAATTCTACCGACATTTCATCCAAGCTAGTAATACTGAGAGTTTCAGCTTCAGCTAAGCTTAAACTAAAATTTAACATTGATAGCTATATTCTACTCCTGAAATGCGTCATATTTCTACCCCCCCCCCCACCAAAAAAAAAATAAAAAACAATGGGTATTGCAATTAAATGTATTTCATCTGGTGGTGAAAAGATTGCTTAAATTTTTTTTTTTCAACTGAAATGCTATTAATTTAAAATCTATTCTTTAGTATAAGATTAATTAGCTATGATTAAATTTTAATATTAAATACAAACTTTACTTGATTGCTTTTCCAATATATGTATCCAATAAAGGTTTAAGATCATAGATACCAGAAAAGAGTACAATTTTTTCGTATCGATGCGCATCCATTGTGCGCTTTAATGCTTCAATAATAGATTTAAAAAATTTGAAAGAATAAATGAAATTGAATAATAGAATAGAATTTTTTTTTGGAATAATTATATCAGAAATGAATTTGCTTTTGAATACTAAATATCAATAATATTTCTTTATGCCCATAACCATAGGTAAATGTTAATCAATGTCGTTAAATCAGAGCCATAAAATCTTATTTTCAATATGCATCATTACCTGTCTTTTTTTTTTTTTTTCATGCTTTATTTATAAAAATGATAGTTGAAATTGAAAATGAAAGAAGCAATTTAAAAAAAAAAAAAGCGACAGTTACTTACCAGAGATGGCTAAATGCGCCCCAGCGCTATGTCCTCCAACCGATAATCTCTTCCAAGGCCAACGTTTTGCTAAAAACTATTAAAAAAAAAAAAAAAAAAACTTGTCTACAGGTGTTTGCTAATTAATCTCTTTTTTACATTTTTAAAGATTATTTCGCTACCACTTTTTTTTAAAAAAAAAAAAAAAAAAAATAAATTCGAGCAGATGAAAAGTCGATTGTATTCCATTTTATTTATTCTACCAGTTGTTATGATTACAAAAACTTCTTCAAAACTTTTTGCTTTCAGCAAAGCTACGAATGCTCTCTTCCATTAATCATTTTGATAACTTCCGGTTAACAATCGCTGATACTTTTTGATAATATTTAGGAAAAAATAAAATTACTAATACAAATATTAAATTTAAATTTTACCATTTGATTCAACAATTAAACTTATTCATAAATCTATAGAACTCAATAATTTGATATAATTAAATTTTATTTATCTAATTAACTTTACTAGAATAAACTTTTATTACACTTACGTGAAGTGCTTTTGCTCCCTGTTCTATCACGTCATTTAAACAAATGGTAGTAGCAAAATCATATCCAATACAAGCTACTACAATACCGTTGTCAACAAGCGCTTTTACCGGACTCGTAAACAGTTTCCGATCTCCTTCCTGGATGAATTCAACAATTGAACTACTACTAATCATTTTAAATATTATTTTATCTCATCAAATAGTGTAAATATTTAAAATCAAAATCTTTCTGTCAAATTTTTTTTTTTTTCTTAATTTATCTTTTTTCCTTTTTTTTTGTGTTAAATTCTTTCAAATTAAACTTAAAAGATAAAAGTGAAGTGACCTGCCAGTAACCACCATGAAACAATGCCAATGCTTTAGTACTCTCGAATTCATTACCCCAAATATCAATTATTTGTTTACCATCTAGAAATATACAATAGAAGTATTAATTGCGAAAGAAGAAGTAATTAGTTTCCAGTTTCTGATAAATGATATCAGTTAGGAAGGAGGAAAATGATACGTTTCAAAGTTTAAACCTCCGTATGGAATTGTTTGTAATGGAACAGTTTGCAGATTATCTCGATAGCAGGACTGCAAATTGATGATGAATGTTTCGATAACCTGAAAATAACAAGTATGCAACCCTTTCCGGATGAAATTCGAAACGAAAACTTCTAAAAGTAACCAATTCCGGTGATTTTGAGATTGTTGACCAATGACTTGGAGAATATAAGCATTCCTGTTGTGTGCATCGAATACCATGGTGACATGACATCACTGCTTGACAGTTAATGTTCAGGTAGAAAACTCGTTTTGTCAACATTACCTTTTGTCAACAACTTTCTTCTTCTTATTTTACTATTAAAAAAGAAGAGGAAAAAAAGATATAAATGAAATTATCAATTGCAATTCATTGCATTCCAATTAAATCGATAAATGAAGAAGCTTAGAAAATGCATAAATAGCTAGAATATTTGCATATTTTGGATTAAAAAAAAAAACGATATTTAAATATTTGCATAAAAAATATTGCAATGATCTTTTGTTTTTTTTTTTCTTAGTTGTTAGATCTTTCTAGCAAATATCTATTAAAAAGCGCCATTGTCATCATTGCTGCCATTTGTCCATCCATTTACTATTTTTGGATTATTTATGGCAGACGAATGATTAAGATTATTTATATTTTAAAGTAGGACTGATAAGATTTGATAATACTTTGTAAATTTAGGGAATATAATTGGGACGGAAGCAATAATGCTACCATTTCAGGCTTACTTACTCTTTGGAATTTCATTTAATTAAAGTAGAAGTTCACATATTTGATATAATAATGTCACAGTTTATCAGTTTTAAAGCAAAATTTTCATTTTTATAATTTCATTTTTTCATTAATTTATATAATAATTCAATACATCAAAAATGAATTCATTTTATTAGCTAAAATTGAAAATCGATTGGAACAATTTAAAATTGAAATTTGTTAGAGTAATAGCTTATTTATTGTATACTAAAATTGTAAGAACAATAATTTTCTTTTGCAATAATTGAAATAGTCAAGATTATACTAACAGAAACTTTTTAATATTAAAACTTTTTTTTTTTTTTAAATATTTCTAACTTTAATTGAACTTTTGCAAAATTAAAGAAAATGGACGAAAGTGATAACGCAAAATTGAACAAAGTAGACGAAAGTGATAACGCAAAATTGAACAAAGTAGACGAAAGTGATAATACTGATAATACTACAACACCATTGTTGTATAAATCACCATCAGAAAAGGTAGGTAATTCATTTCCGTTTTTTTTTTTAAAACAAAATTAAATTTTTTTTTCGTTGAATTATTCATCCTTACTTTTAAATTTTAGAATTTATGTTTTTTTTTAATTTGAAATTAAACTACAAATTATTATTTCCAGGAAATGAACAAACAAAATGAACAATTCACAAAGACAGTGATATCAGAGGTGACAGTAAATATCGGAGGTGCACAGGTAAGTGGAAAATATTGCATATAATTACAAATCACTTCTAATATCTTTAAGAGAAGAGTTTTCACGGATTACCTAATCATCCTAAAAGGTAAATGTCATCTAATTGTTATGCTTGCTCAATCATAAAAACTTTCCTGTCTTGCCGAAAAAAATTTCCGGAATTGTCCTCTTTTGTCCTGTTTGTCTTCAATTATTCTATTAATTTTTTTTTTAAATGTAATCACATTAATTTCAGTAATTAGTTATTTTAGTTCATAGAGTGCTTTGAATAGTTGTCACTTACTTTTTTTTATAGTGTTGTAGTCGGAGATGTCAGTATTTGAAATTAAAATGTTTATTTGCGATCAAATTCAATCTCAGATGTATATTTTCAGGATTATAGATGTCTCTCAGTTCGAAAGAGTGAAATCGGAAGTGCAAAAATTATTATGGAGGGACAAGGTGACGTGACCAGCAAACGTAAGAAGTCAAATGAGCAGGAAGTATGACCTCAAAATGAATTATGGTCGACTTTGTAAAGTGATATGAATGAAATCAATAAATCTTCATGATAATATCTGTTTAGAATCTTAATCAGATGATGGGAGAATCGTGGATTCAGACACGTTGGGTCCGTCTGGGTGAAAGTAATTCACGTAAGGTTATACCAGTACGAGGAGTAAAAACGGTCCGTGTTTTTTTTTTATTACAACGAGAATTTTTTCTTATCATGTATTGTCTCTTCTTCGTAACACATAACTTAAAGTACTGAAAAGTAATATTGAAAGGTATAGAAGAGTATCTCCAGGATGAGAGAAAAGATTCATCCGGCGAAGTGAGAGAGACGAGTGATGCAAATCATTCGATACCGGAAACGGAAAGTAAAAAAACTCTTCAAGCAAATGGTAAGTAGAAAAATTTGCATAATATGATCAAACATTTGATGGCAGTTTTTTCTCATTTCGAATTGTAAATAATTCCAGATGTAATCTATCTTCCAGGAATTGTTTCTTAATTTGATTTTGTGATCAAAATTTATAATAAATAAATTTGATATAATTTTTGAACTTCAGAAGATATGGAATGTGATATCGAAGGAGAAAAAGACGATGAAAGATGTGAAACTGAAGAGTTGGAGCCAAAAAATCCTACAGAAGAAGTCAATTCATTACAGTATTTCACTTCATTACAATAATAATACTTATTATTATTTATTATTATGTTCGCATTATTCTCCTTATCATTATTCTTCTTATCATTATTCTCCTTATCATTATTCTTCTTATCATTGCTGTCTTCTTTCAGAAAGAAATGGAAATGAAATTTGGGCCAGATTTGGTGGAAACAAAGGAATGTGTCACTGATAATTCCTTCAAAAAAGTAAGTGATAATGCTTATCATTGATGAACAATTTTTTTTTTTTTTTTTTTGATTTAAAATCAATGATTTAGTTGGTGTAAAAGTTATTTTATTAATTATTTCAAGTTATTATTATTGCTTCAGCGAAAAGATAAGAAAGGAAAGAAAAGTTCCAGTGCTACTCGAACCAAAAGATTAATTCCAAATGAGAAATACTGGAAGGCATCTTACGTAAGTATTAATTAATATTTGACAGGTAAGAAATATCGGTAATATTAGCAATGAGTATTTCATAAAATTTGCTAGTATTTGCACTGTGAAATTATTGCTAAAGCATATTCTGTTCGACTGAAGCAACAAAAATTGAACCCTTTCTTACCAGTAATTATGGTTTTTTTTTTTGAGGCAAAAGGTGTCAGAAGAGAAATTAGTAGGAGTGAGAAAGTAAAGAAAAGTAAGTAATTATACCTGGTAGATAAAAGTTACAAATAGTAATAGTTAGAAGAGGTCAGAAAAGGTCACTTTAAGGAACAGGAAAGAAAAATTGAAGAGTTTCACAATGAATTGATAATTCGAAGAGATCATTATCAAAAGCAACTGGAAGAAACTCGCAATGAAAAAGAACGATTGAATATAGAAGTAAACATTTCATTTGATTATATAAATGATTCATTTTTAATTTTTTGAAATTTATTAATACAAATTGAAATTATTTCAAAGCTTATTTATTCAAATTTTTTAGCTGTTAAAAGTTGATGAGAAAATTAGTACTTTGGAAAAAGCAACAAAAAAGTTGGAAAATGAAAATGCGAAATATTTATCCATCATACAGGTGAATTTTTTACAAATTGAAAGATTTAGTTTTTGCATAAAAATTAAAACAAAAAGACTAAAAAGGTAAAATTAATATGTATAATAAAAAATATAATTCAATTTAATTTAGCAGTATTGAAATAGAATGAAAAATTTTAATTTTTAAAATTACATTACTTAAGGATATGCGAAATAATTCTGAAAGACAACTGGAGGAGCAAACGAATGAATTAAGACATTCTGTCAAATTGCGCCAAATGGCGAAAGAACAATTGCAACGTTCAAATGAAACAAGGGCAGCACAACTTGAATTAGTGATAAAACAGAAATGTGAAGATAATTTGAAACTTCATGCTCTTCTCGAGAATATTGAGGAAAAGTTCAAAGGCAGAAAAACTCAAGCGATTCGATCAGAGGAATTTCATCAACGATTTCAGAAAAAATTAAATGACTTATTACAGAAGTTTAGAGCTGAAGCAGTAAACACAGATTTGACATGGTTAGGTGAAGAGAATATTCAATATGCTGTAGATCTTTTTGAGACAACAATAAGAACTATTTTGCAAGATGAACCCTGTTTTCATCACTTAGTTGAACGAGTTGCTCTTTTCATGGATATCGGGACTAGACAAGACAATATGGTTTGTTTGCTTCATTTATTATTATTATTGTCAATTTTGAATAGAGTATTTAAATTTTAAAACAATGAAAACAAGAACAAAAATTTCTTAGAAAAAATATTTCATTGATGAATGCAAATTGAATTGAAAAAAAAATTAAAAATTTTTCAGCAGTTACAGTTACCCAAGAATGATAGTGAGAATGAAACAGCTAAAAGTCATCAATCACAAGATTTGGCGGTATTGTCACATTTTTCTTATGCAAATTTAATTTTGCTTTTATCACTCATTTATTTACCACTGATAATAAAATCTAATCTCGTAATGCTTGTTGTAATTTAATCACGAAAAAATTGTTCCATCTATTCAATTTACACAAGAATTATTAGATTTCAGTGCGAGAAAATTATGTTGTATATTGATTAGTTAGTAATAGATTATTATGATTACATATCAAATTCATATGAGATCATTTCAGACATTCAAGAAAAAATTCCGTAAGGAAATTCGCTCAATGTTGAAAGAATATATGGAAAAGCAAAAAAATGAACTTTCTCGAAATATTTCGACAATAATAAATCACCTGGAAGGTGTTGAAAAAGTATTAATTTATAACATAGCAGTATATTTATTTATTTATTTATTTATTTCACTTTGTTGTCATCTAAATTGATTTATCAAATGTATAAGTAGAAAATGGATGGTAGGCGGAAATTGATTCCTTCAATAGGGCGCAAATTCAAGAGTGGTATTCTTTTTAGAAAATTGATGCTGTTTTAACGAAACGTGTTGAAAATATGAAAGCGATGATTACTCTTATGGATAATAAACAAAATGATCTTCGAAAAATTGAAGAAGAATTAGATCATAGCACTGCTCTAGTGAAATCAATTTCTGATGAAAGGAAAATTCGACCAGAAAGAAAAGAGAATTTATGGAAATTAAATAAAGAAAATTGTAAACTGAAAGAAGATTGTAGCAGTCTTAAAAGTGGATACATGGTATTATTCTGTAATCATTCTCGATCATAATGTAAAATTCTCGATCATTCTAGGATATCTGATTGATAATTATTGAGCTTTATAGGATGTTTGATACGATTAAGCAATTAGACATTTCTTGATTGCAATTAGCTTTTGATCAATTTCAATTTAATTACCATAGAACGTTTAAGATATTTGTCCGTGCTTTGTTCCTATCATAATTAAAAACAGATTCAATTTAGGAGTTGGAAAAAAAAATGGAAAGTATAGAAAAACTTCAAAAACAATTCCTTCATTCTTTTTCGGCACTACAATTAATGGATCAAATGATCACTTCAAATGATAGATGCCATAAACAAACAGTACCAAAATCACCAGTGGAAACTTTTCAATCTTCAACACTCCAATGTACTACTACTACCTCTAGCACTCCAGTGCACTACTCTCCGGTACATAAGCAATTTGTTACCTGTCGTTACCTGTTAAAATGTTTACCTGTCGGTTTCTTTCCTTTCATCTATAGTTTTATAATTGAAAAGAAAGTTCTTATGGTCAGTAATAACTTCGAACTGTTTAGCATTTGTTGAACAAAACGAAGGATTCTGAGAGCATTCTTGAGATAATTTTGAACTTTCTGTTCTATAATTCCAATGTTTACTTTGATAATTTAATCTTATTTACCTAGTTGCATCATTTTGATATATTCAGGAAAACGAAAGACATCATGAAGAAATTGTTCATCGTGGACTGATGGAAGAAATATCAGAAAATGAATGTAACAAATGAAATTCAGTTTCTTTTTTTTTTTTGTATTTAAAAAACGTTTATTTGATTATCCTTATCAGTTTACACACTTTTTTCTTTTGATAATTGAAAGTTGTCTGCTATTTTCATGATTTAATGTAGTTATTACTACAATATCAAATATTTCTCAAAATTCTCGGCAGTTAAGTAGTTGAAATTTTAATTCTCATATATTTTACAAATCAAAAAAAAACAATTTCGATTCACTATCTTAATTTCTAAAATAAATTTTATTACTATTTTAGTGCTAAACCTATAATATAATCTCGAATATATGAAATCTTATTAAGCACTCAATTGATTACACAAAAATGAAATGAATTAAAATGTCAGTAGTACTTTACTAATCTGTAAACTTACTTTCTATTTCACAAAATTTTTATTTGTAGTAGATCGTAGTAGCATATATCGGTTAGTTGCAGCTTTTTTTTTTATTTTATTATTTAAGATGAATTTGATTCTCAATGCTTTATCTTATCACTCATTTCTTATCATTACATTTATTTCTATAACAAATTCATCTTAAATAAATAAAAAAAGAACAGAAATTAAAACAAAAAATATCACTGAACGATGGTTTTTGTTTGTGTTTTACAATAATTACTAGTTGCTATTATTTTTATCAAACTGATGGTATATCTGAAATTTATTGTTCTTTTAAATTTATGTTTTCCTGATGCGATCAAATCACTTCTATTTTAGTATGTATTGTCGAATAAATGAGAATTTTATTCAAAATTTTGACATCTTGCGGTGACAAATCTTGTGACAACTTTTGACGATCAATTTTATCTATTCATATTCGGATGAATAATAAATGAAGAATGCTATTAGAATGTGTTCAAAATGCACAGTCAAAGAGCAATGATTCAGCTAGAGAGTCCATTGCAAATCAAAATTTTAAATTTGCATTCAAATCTTTACGTGGTCATCCCATTTACGCCTTATTCATTTGCACTTTACGTTCACTGTTACGTGAATCATTTGCTATTAGTGGGATTCCGTGTTTGCATTACGTTTCTCACTTGTTGACGTTACATTTCAGCGGCGGGTAGCATAAAACAAGTTTAAGGTTGAGAAGTGCGCGTTTGCTGACGTTTTCTTATCGTTTTTGTTTTTGGTAGTGGATAGTGAATAAGTAATGAATTAAAGATTTTTCACGTGGTCGTGGAAGGCATATGATCTGGAAGTCACGTCATCCGTACGCATCATTAATTTGTCTTTTCTCAGATGCATTGAAGTGTTGGAACAAATATAAGTGAAACGGGCAGTTTCTTTTTCCCGACTCTAGGGACACATGCCAATTGTGGTAAAAAACAGTGACCGTCTGCGTAAATTGGCTATCGGTATAGGAATTGCATTATGTGGATCAGCAGTTGGCATTTTGTATGATCAAGAACGATTCTTCCAGCTTGGACCATTTCGTGTCGTTCGTGCAGGTGTCACGGTATGATAACTAATCAGTTACTGAAAAATAAAACATTTCTTTACGAAAAATGTTGACTATTTATCTTTTGTTTTAAAATTAATTACTGCCGTTTAATAGGACTAGTGTGTTTTATGGTTAGAAGAGATGTTGTATTCGTTTCCAAAGAATAAATTAAGTCTGCAAGTTTGATAGATGCAAACGAGGATTATGATTACGGATTACATAGGTCATTCTTAAACGTTTTCAGGTACTCTGTATTGTAGCCGACTATAAATGGACTCTGTGGACTTGTTCGGGTATGGACGCACTGTATCATCAGAAACTGAGTGCAGCACACATCAGAAGTGCTGGAAGACTACTTAAATTAGCTGAAAACAATGGTGGTGTCTATATTAAAGTAAGAGTTAAATTTAGTAGATAGACTTTTCTTTAAGGTAGCGTTTTTTAAAGTCATAATTTTCTTTACTGATAACTGCATGAAGTATATCTGATGATCAGCGGAACCTAATATTGTAACTATGTTATTTATAATAAAGGAGTCTGTATATTTATTGGTGACCTTCAGGGTTTGAAATATTCCATAACTGTTCAGGTCGGACAACATTTGGCTGCCCTAGAGTATCTTCTTCCAACTGAATACACGGATACTTTATGTGTTTTGCATTCAAGAGCACCCGAGAGTAAAATAGGAGAAGTGCGACAAGTTCTGGAGGAAGACCTAAATGCCAAGGTAAGTAATGGGCTTAAGATATAAGTAGTACTGTTATGCTTCTGTAGCTTTTTTTGTGGTTTAGGAGGAATCGAAATCAAAATTGCGACACCGACAAAGATAATTTTTGCTCGTCATTACTTGTTATTTGTGTTTTTCCAATTATTTACGTTTTACTTGTAGTAGCATCTATTGTTGCATTAATTCAGATAAAATTGCGATAAAATACGCTGTGAGAAATTCAGATAAAAATACGCTGTGAGAAAATTAAACCTTTTGAAGAATTTAAGTTCTTTTCAATGTTTTCTTTATTAAATTAGCAATTAATACTATTATGATTGACGAATTTAATCATATTCAATCTGTTTACAGCTGGAAGATGTATTCGTGGAATTTAATGAAAGCCCAAAAGGTTCTGCATCACTTGCACAAGTTTATCGGGCAGTTTTAAGGAAAAACAACGAAGAAGTTGCTGTGAAAGTACAACATATCTATGTAAAACCGAGAAGTTGGGCTGACATTAAGACGATCGAGGCACGAAGTTTTTATCACATATAGGGGGTTTATAATGGAAGCGCTGACTTTGCTCTTTTTGGCAAAATATGAGCTTCGTTAAAAAAATGATTTTTCTTTTACTTCTTTCTTTTCCTGGACACTTGTCATCTAGAGATGAACTTTAGCAGGTAACGTCAAGGTAGTAAATAAGGACTTAGGTTTAGTGGTCGAAATAATAGTATTTTCATTCCAGGCCTTAACTAATCTGGCATCAAAGCTCTTTCCTGACTTCCATTTTCTTTGGTTGGTGGACGAAATGAAACGAAATTTGCCTAGAGAATTGAATTTTAAAGTTGAGGCGGCAAATGCGAAAAAACTGAAGGAAATGTTTTCACACCTCGACTATCTTAAGGTATTTTTTCTAATCTAAAACTTATTGTATGTATATATTGAAGAAAAGTTGTGTTTGAATAGTTAATGTTGTTTCCTTGATAGTGGATACGAGAGAAAATTATTTCGATTGTTGCTCATCTCATTCATTATCACATTAAGTTTGCTTCAATGTGGATTATTTCTGAAGATAGAGGTATATTGCAGATTCCAAAGATATATGAAGAATATACGACAGAACGTGTTCTTACAATGGAATACTGCGACGGTGCTCAAATAAATGATTGCAATTATTTTACGCAAAATAATATTAATCGCTATGATGTAAGCTCGGATGTATTGTAATAATTGATAATTTTCATTGTTTTAACCACTTAATATTATCTCCATCATTTAGTCTTTTTAATATTCACTATTTCTTACTATTCATTTACGTCCTTTGACGAAACCCATTATTAAACTGGCACACATTTTTATATTCTGAAGGTTATATCGTTTCGTAGAATATGGCTGACTGGAAATATTGTTTCGTTCTTTTTTCAGATCATGTGAACAAAGCTTATTATTACTCTGCTCATAACTAAATTGGATTTCATCAAATGAATATGTTTTTACTATAGGTTTGTCGTAAACTGGGTGCACTGTTTAGCGAAATGATCTTTATTAATGGTTACGTTCACTGTGATCCACATCCTGGCAACGTTTTGGTGAATAAGGCAAAGGATGGACATGTTTCGATCGTTCTTTTGGATCATGGACTTTATTTGGTAGGTCTTTTTGTTTGATCTATTGACATGAAATTTCATTTTTCCGAAGATACTAGTTTGAAGAACCTGATTTTTTACCAGAAATTGAAAGGAGAGAGTAAAATAGAATGCTAGTGGTGGAAGGTGGTGAAAAATCATGGCACTAGATAACTTTTCAGTAATATTTTCGAGAACTTCACTATGTTTTCAATGTTTATAACTTGCAGCTGTTTATAAATTTGCAAAGAATGCAAAAGTTGTTTCATTTTGATTTGTACATTGCAGACAATGGAACCTGATTTCCGGATAAAATATTCGAAGTTATGGCTAGCACTATTAGAACCCAATTTAAATGAAATTAAGGTTCGTGTATAGTTTGCTTCTGCACAAAAGTTTGAATGTTTAGTTTTGGAATTTTCAATTTTTCTTCCTAAAACTTTCAGGAATGTGCACAGTCGATGGGCGTGGGTGATCTTTATGGTCTTTTTGCCTGTATGGTGACAAACAGATCATGGGATGCAATCAGCCATGGCATTGACAAATCATCTGCTACATATGATGAAGCAAGTTATATTTACTTTATGTGAAAAAATTACAAATTTAATCGTGAAACTTTGATTCTATAAATTATGAAAAATTATGATAGCATATTAAATAGAATAAAAAACAAAATATAGCATAGCATAAAAGCAGATCTTTTGCGCTAAAAACTAAAATTTTCTAATTCGATTATAGCAGCGAAAAATCAAGTCATACGCTGCCACACTAATACCTGAAATTTCACAAGTTTTGGAGCGGATGCCACGCTCAATGTTATTAATTTTAAAGACGAATGATCTGTTAAGAAGTATAGAATATCGCTTGGGAACGCAAGGACGAGCTGATACTTTTGTTCAGGTAGTTAATTTCGTCGTAATTTATTCGTTGCGGGAAATAATTGGGAAGTTTAATTGCTTAGATACAGCGAAGTCCAAATTCTAAATAAAACATTATTTGGCCAAAATTTCAATGGTCGATCTTGTCAGAAAGCAACATTTCTTGCCGCTAGATAACTAAGTAAACGCACTCATCCAAGACATAGTAAATTTCTGATGTCAACATTTGAAAATACAGCATGAATTCATATTCATTTTCAGATGACTCGTTGTTGTGTTCGATCAATTCATCAACGTTCTGCTGAAGAGACGAATTCATTGCTGATAAAAGTTTGCGTTTATGTGCGCATGTACATAACGCTATTCAAAATAACCATTTTTGAATATTACTTGATGTTTATGAATCCATTTTATGCCAAACCTATCGAATAGTTTCTTTCATTATGAATTCGCAGGGATTTTCGATTTTCCACCGGTGTGTTGCCTTCTTGTTTATGTGATTTTGTTTGTTTCATCTCCTGGATAAATACAAATGGATATTTATGTAGACTTGTTCACTAGATTTTTCTTTTTTTTCAAGAACAGATCTAAAATGAAGAATTCATGCTGCTTATTTGAATCGATTAAATCATTTTAAAAAAAGCTCTAATTATTTAAATTCCGGTGTTTCATTTAATTTCTAACATAATCTCTTTTCAAAGATCTTCCAAGGGACAAAGATATTTCTGTGAATTTTATTCACTTTTATTATCTATGTTTTAATAATATAATACTTATCATGAGATGTATTTCATCTTTTATTTGCTCTGCTAGAAGTTTTTTTCCATTTCGATTTTTTTTTTTTTGACTTTGAATTAATAAAAATGGAACGTGGTCATGTTTAGGTAAGTTGAGTTCGCCTTCTTTCTGGTGAAATAAATGATACTGAAATGATGACGACATTGGTTCACTAGAAATATATGTAGAAATAACATTAACATAGTTCACACCAATGTTTTTGTTACCGAAGCAGTACTGTTCTTTGTGTTATTCAAGTAAATAAGATTAAAGGTTGTCTTTATTTTGGATAAAAATACTCAAAATATTCGGTAATTATGAGGTGTCCTATTATGTACACATCGGTTGCGCAAGTTCGAAGAAGGTTTCGGTAGTAGTGGTGTATCAGTCCGGTTCATCTCTTTTAATCTCATTTGTGTATAAGTTCGTTCTACAACTGTGTAATAAATCTGTAGAGCGATTGACAATTTCACCACTCAAGTTTCAAATATTTTCTGATATAAGTTGTATTTATTGATTAGGGATAATACTACGTGATGTAATCACAAAGGGATAAAAGAGGTAAAGCAAAGATGAGCAAAAATAAGAGTTTTTTAGGATGTAAACGTCTATGTAAGAAATCTATGTTTTTTTTTTTTTGAAGATAATATATGAAAAACTCAATAGAGGAAGCAAAAATTTAAATGTGCAAAATATGGGAATGACTCGATGTGAGTGTCCATAAAAATGGGATTGATTGTGACAAGGCTACATTTAAGTCTGATATTAGTTCGTTTTAAGTAGTTTGTGCATTGGTTATTTTTAAATAGCTTATAGAGGTATCTTTCGGATAGTGGAAAGACATCCAAGAAGCAATTAATTACTAATCGCAAACATAAATGAAGGATGGATTTTGATTATCTTTTGCAGATTTGATAATGCCATCGAAATTTGTGCGTTATCGTTCTATAGTGCCAGTGGTTAGTCAAGAAGCAGTGGAGAATAGCTATTGCTGGGATACATTTTTGGAAAAAGTGTTAGCAAAGTTGGATCGATCTGGCGATGTGAATCCACGTTGTCCTGCATATGTTGTTCCTGTGGAATATTTTTATCAAGCACAGTTTGCTGAATATATGAAGTATATTGATACAAGTGTTAAAGTGAGTTGTGATTTTAAATCATTGAAAGATTTAAATTGTAATCATCGTGAGATACATTTTCATACCTCTATAATTGAACTGAAATAATCATGATATTTTTTTTTTGTGAAAATAGAAATATTTTGCTGACTGTAGTTATCAGTAACCTTCGCTATAGTCCAAAAATACATTAATTTTTTGGACGTATACTACAGTCTTTTGAAATTTAAAATTAGACGTGAATGACTTTAGGAATTCGACTATATAATTAAATGCAAGGAATACCAAGTCAGCTTTTTTCTTAAGCATTCAAGTTAACTTTTGAGTTTAAACTTTTACCGTGATCATTATTTGAACTTTTTTTTAGATTGAGGTGGCATTATGCGGTGACTATGGTTATAATGCTGGACCTGTGAAGTTGTACTGGTTTGCTCGAGTAATGAAAGTTGGTGGTAGAGGCATATATAATTCAATCAAAAATTTCATAGCATAATGGAAATTTAAGTTTTTTTTTTCTTTTTTTATTGTCTGTTTTGAAGTGATGACATAATTCCAGGTTGCGGGTTATCGTTTATTGCTTCGGTACGAAGGAATGGATGAAGTAGGTGATAATGCGCATGATTTTTGGGTCAATATTAGTTCTGAAGATATTAGACCTATCGGTAAATTATGTTACATTTCTTTAAGTTTCTTTTTCCTTGCTTAGTTATTTGTCCCCAATGCTTCATCAGTTCTCATGCCCAAAAATTTACTTGAAACTTTGATTTCCTTATTTATTAAGTTTTTCGATTACACTGGTTTCATTGTTTTCATCACCGTGATGTGTATTTTAATCTTTATATGGAACAGCTATCATTTTATACAGGAAAATAAGTGCGATTTATTCAAATGGTTTTCATTTTATGGTTTTGATTCAATTTTTTATTTCTGCAAAAAATAATCTGTGATTGTCTATCTTTTGTTTAGGTGAGTAAATAGGTGACGGTTAAAAATGTTTGTAGCTAGGGATCTCTAGCTTAGTCTTATTTACATAATAAAGAAGATGTTTCAGAAATATTTATAAGCAGTTTCTAATTTTTGTTTCTAAATTTCTGGTCAAATTAATTTAATATCCATAATTTAAACTTGTGGAAATAACAATTTAATATCCATAATTTAAACTAATAGAAATAATACCTGATTATTTATACAGATATTAGCAGTAAACTTTCTCTAAGAGCGGTATAGTGTTGTCTACTTAATTCTTATGTACCATTATTGCCATTTATTCGAACTTATTTGTTCTCAACAAGCAGTTTCTTCTAGTTATTGCTTGTTAGAAGTATTCAAAATCAAAGCATTATGTTCGGTAACATAAAAATTGCTGAATTCAGACGATTTGAGGGTATGCGGTTTATTCAAATTGGTTTCCTTTATTTAATGGTCTTGATTCAATTTTTCATTTTTCGGGCTGATATTTTATTATTAGGAATGAAATTTGCTCGTTCACACTTACTTGCTCACCTTATTTCTTGATAAAGGGCTGCCAAATTCAGGAAATGTTAATATTCTAACAGAAATATGGTAAATAAAGTGTGCATAAAAACCGAAATGAAAATAATATATAAACATTCCAAACAATTTGAGGATGTGCTATTTATTCAAATGGTCATCTTCATTTTGTGGTCTTGACTCAATGTTTTCATATCTCTTATCCGCAAATTTAGAAAATCACCATGTGCAATAGAATTAAAATATTCATACTAGAGATTATTTTGTTTTCTAATTTGAAAAGTTTGAAAAATGTTTATCCACTCGTTTTTGAAATGTCTTCTGAAGTGTATGAAAATGTAACAGAAATATTGCCTAATCCACAAAAAAGTTTGAGGATGGTAGAACTTTGATATGCATGGAATGGTAGTACTGTTATAGTTTTAATTGGATAGGCTGAGAAAGAATATAATTTGGAGCAATTGAAGGGATTAGAAATCGTCCAAAGGACAGCAAACAGTATTTCTCTCACATTTATCATAAATGCTGATATAATCTTAGTTATTTTCGTTATTTTTTTACAAGTTGATATTTTTTTAGGCTACTGCGCAGAAAAAACTGAAACTCGAGCTTTGGTGCCGCCAGAATCAATTCATGAACGACAGTCGAATTGGCGACAATACATCCTTTGTCAAATACATGCTTATAGAACCATTGCTATTAATTGGCCAGAAATACAAATTCGAAAATTAACTGCGTGTAAATTCAAGGTTTGTGAGTTGAAGATTGAGTTTTACGGAGAAGAAAAGATAAGAGCCTTTAAGCAGATTTCTTGAGAACTAAGTTTCAATAATTTATTTGTCTTATATGGGACTTTCCTCCATAATTAATTATCAACAAAGCGCCTAGTTTCTGTTAGACAAAAATATGAGGTTTCGTTGTCACTACATATGAACTGAATTATATTTTCATAATTCATCTTTAATTTGTTAAACCTTATTGGCAAAAGTGAAAGTTTGAGATTGGAATATGACCACTTCATATTCATCAGTTCATATAAGAAAATTCATACCCTTGTTGATTAGAATTTTAATATTCCAGAAGGGCGATCATGTGGAACTGCTGGATTCAACAATTTCTTTAAGGGTCCGTCCAGCATGTGTAGAAAAAGTGATTGGTACTCGAATACATGTGCGTATAAGCCAAATCTTTTTTGATCGATATAGAACTAATGATGATGACAGTCAGGTAAGGTCTTTACTTTGTGAAGTTGGTTAGGTTGTTGATAATAATACATTGTAATTTAATCATTTCAATTTGCATTTTTTTTTTTTTTTTTAAAATATCTGAAATTATTTTGAGCAGTTAGTAAATCTATTCCAGATTAATGAAGGAGTTTGGATGGATCAAGATTCGCCATTAATCTTCCCCGTTGGATGGGCGCTGAAAGTTGGATATAAGTTGGAAGCAAATGACGACTATATCAAGCATGCAAAAGAAGTTTCAATTGTTTTTGAATTGATATATTTTAACAGATTTAAATGATATCGGTTTTAAGATGTTTGAGCAGAATTTCTTATGCAATTCGAGTTTCGTTCACTCGAGAATTTAGCCATCTTTTGAAAAAATTGAGTATTATATTTTTATTTTTTCTTATTCACAAGCCTTATAGCTTGTTCACCTTATTGAATAACTTTGAACCGGTTGAACTTATTAAGTTGATTTGGTTTTTCTTATATTCTTTATTGCTCAACATCATTTCATGTGTGTGTTTTTAAAGAAAAAGTAAATTTCTTCAGACTTAATTGAAAAAAAAAGCCGTGTTTTAAAATACTGGGAATTTACTCCATGTTTTAGAAAGCAAATGACAGCGAATATGAAAAACATGAAAATCCATCTCCGTCGAAAATGTGTATTAAAACAGAAGCTGCAGATGATATTATGTGGGAAAAAGGAATGAAATTGGAAGTACTCGATCCGCTAGATACATGGAAAGAATTACGAGTATCAACTGTTATGGAAGTTATGAGCGATGGTTTTCTCAAAGTTGGTGTTCTAGCATTTACATTTAGAGTATCGGTTTTTTCCGTGTTTGCATTTTAATATTCCTACACTTAGTTTCAATTGTCCTAATAAAAAAAAAAAGCCGCAAAGTAAACGAATTTTGCAAAATTTATTGGTATAGAAATTTTTTGGAGTAAATTAAATTTTTCTTCATTTATTTATTGTTTTCAACTTGTGCGCAATTTTGCAGATTGGTTTTGACGGTGATGAAATGGAAAGTGATCCGGTGCCAATACATTCCAGCTCAGAGCTACTATTCCCTGTCGGTTATGCACAAAAATATGGAATAAGATTAAAGGGACCAAAAAATACAGGTATTTAACTTTTCTCAAGTTTGATTAGGTTGAAAAAAAATGAGAACGATATAGTACTTTTTATATTGCATGTTCTTGGTATTTCTTCTGGTTCTGAACAAATTCTCTCATCCTCTTCGGACTCTGTTAACAATGTTAACAATTGCTTTTTCTGTAGGTTAAATATTATGTTTCTTAACAGACATAGTATCGAAAATCAAAAAACAAAGTTTGAGTAGTAATTCTTGAATGTAATATTTTTTTTGAAAGCATGTGTTGTTGAGTAGTAGTTTCATAGTATTATGAAACACTTTAGAATATATGAAGCATTGCTGAAGTGGAACCTTCTCGAATCATGATTTCTAATTTCACTAGTTTGAAGTTCTTTTTCAAAATGAATTCTTCAGGACTTTTTGACTGGACTGTTTATTTGAAGAAATGCAATGCTATTGCTGCACCTGAAAAGCTTTTCAATACATTCAATGATGACGTCTTGAACGATTTCAAGGTTTGCTTTTATTAATGCTGTAGGAGAATTATATTATAATCACGTGCTGTTGGACATTTTGAAACGTGTCATACAGAATACGGGAGGAGACAAAAAGCGTCTTCCTGGCCGTGAATTTCAAAATTTTTAGAAGTCTGTTTTCGTCAGAGTCCTTGGAAATATATTTCATTTATCTCCGTTTTAATAGTGTAGCAATTGTAAAATATCTTAATTTTATTCGAATATATATCAAATTTAAAAAGATTGGAGCAAAACTGGAAGCGACTGATATGTGTGAACCACATTTGATATGTCCAGCGACGGTAGCAGGTCACCATGGACGACTTCTGCGAATCGAATATGATGGATGGGCTAGTAACTATGATCAATTATTTGATTATAGGTACAACATTCCTTTTCAAAGACTAAAGCCAAATCTTTTAGTAGTTTTTCAGATTTTAGATAGTAAAAAATTTTAGTTTTAGCTCCAGTTCATCTTATCCAGGTTTTCACTTGAAATTCCATATTTGCACTTTATCGTTATTCAAAGCGATAATATTGGCTATGTCAAATCGTGATAGGGCATGCTCTAGGAAACTTGCAGCTAATTTGAAATGTCTTCCGGTGAGGAATAATTAACATATGGTACTAGCAATGAAAGCAGTTATTTCAAGGGTCTGTTTTTAGTCCTAATTTATAAGTTTTTATAGTAGTTATAAAGACTATCTTCTTAAGGGAATTTATATTTAGATCAGCGAACATTTTTCCCCTTGGATGGTGTGAAATGTATGGTTATAAACTGGAAGCACCGAGGGTTTCGCATGCGCCGAAGAAAAAAAGGAAGAAAATATGCAAGGATAACGTTGAGAAGGATATTTCCGCTTGATTCCTTTTCCTCTTATTCAGATGACTTCTTTTATATGAAGCTTTTTTTTTGGTTATTATGATGTGCTTTCAAATCGAATTGAGTTTGATCTATTGAGTTATTGTATGATTTGCTTTCGGATCAAATATCCAAGTCGGATTTGGTCTATTGATACATTGTAATTTGGCACTTTCTTTGGTTAACCGAAAATTTCTTTGCTTAACCAAAAAACAGAAACACGATTTTTTCATCAGTGTAATTCCCTACATTAATTTAATATAGGCAATAGCGAGGGCAGCAGAGGATTTGTTGATGCAACTGGTATCCGAAGGTAAGAAAGAAGAAGATATACTCTGTCAAAAATTTTAACGAATTAAGGTGGTGATATGAGATCTAATTGATAGCTTGCAGTTTAATGAGCGCGATTAAACAAAATTCAAGTAAATGATTACTTTTTTTATCTAAAAAATAGACTTAACATAAAATAAGCTTATTGGTGTATTCTAAAACTTCACATCACACTTTATCATGACTTGGAGGTTTGTCTTTTGTTTGTTTGTTTCTATTTTGATACCGGCTAAGTCGTGTCTTATGTCTTGGTGCCATCGATCTTATCAATGTATCAAAGTGTTTCCTGGAACTTGTCCTTGAAGATTTGCTACTGATAGTCGATGGTGATGGCTTACTTTCTCTGTGCCACTTTCCGGGTGTTAATGGTGTTGATCGTATTGCTGAGGACTTCTGTTTCTTGATTTTCATATCTTTTGAGCATGTCTGAACAGAAAAAAAATTTATGGTGGTAATGCTCAGTTTTTATTTTAATATTAGTCAAAAATTGTGCTCAATTTCTTTTAGGCCTTTCGTTTTTCCTTAATTCATTCGAAATAGAAAAGTCATCATGCAAGAAGTTGCAGAAAAATAAAATACCTCTAAAGTAGGAGCTGAAGCTTGAGTTTCACCTTTAGTCAATGTGGTACTTGTCTCTTCGATTGTTTCTGCTATTTTTTGCGCTGCTTTCTGAATTTAAAAATTGTTTTTTCTCAGGGAAAAAAATTAAGATTTCAAAAAAATCAATAATCACAACAATGATTTAATAATTACAATAACAATAACTTCTGTGTTATTTATTTCCGTCAAATGGTGCATGAATTGATAAAGAAATATAAATTCGACTAGCCAAAAGAAAAAACATTTTGCATTTCTCAGCAAAAAGAAACAGATTTGATATAGGGGAAAATTAATTTACTTCATCCTCCTTGTACTGTTTTGACAATGTACTATCCGGTGAGTTCTCCTCCAAATTGATCGAGTTTTTCGATGAATCGATTCCTTCCAACATACTTACAATGCGATCTTGTCCTGCGGGTAACTGAATATGTTGTTCGTTTCAAAATTTTTCACCTCTATGGCCAATGTGACATTTTTTATAGAATTTCTACCAAAATATCTGTCAATTATATGATAAAAGTTCAGGTATTCATCTACTATATGATAAAATTCATTCTTTTGCTAAACGTTTTGATTTTATTTTTTGCCTATTCTTATGTTACTTTTAATGTTCACATCTATTTTCTTTTCAGGAGCGCAAAATAAGCAATGCGTAACCTTTTGTGACTGCAATACTGTACGAAACCTTTTCACAATTTCGATAAAATCAGGCCTTTGCACTGCTTTTCGTTTCCAACATTGATGCATAATCTGTAAATTATCCAAGGTATTTAAATAATGATAGAAATATTAAAATAAAATTAAACAAATGTACTAATTAAATGGATGTATTAATTGCACAATCTATGTTCATTAAAAACAGTTAACTAAATTGCTTCATTTGAGAAATCATTCTACTTGCCTACAACATGATGAGAATAATTAGATAAGAAAGCTATTAGAAGCCTTTTCCTCTTTCTTTAGTTCATTTCTTCTTTTATTTTCTGTGAAACACCGAAGCCTATGAAAGCTTATATTATTCTAAATAACTATTTCAAATTTTTGAACAATAACTGAAATGAAAAATGTGAGACCTCTTCAACATTCTTGTCATTTAATAATGATGGTGTGGCCATGATCCTTCCCTTCCTTACAAGTGGTATTATATCTTGAACCACGGTAATATCAGGCCATGGCTTACCACCGCACGAATACACCTGAAATTGCTTCCATCCAATATATACTTATTTGTTTTCAAATCAAAAGAAAGTGCAAACACGAAAAGAGAAAAAATAGAAAATAACTACGCAAAATGGCACTCTATTAAAATTAAAGAAAGAATTTAAATTTGAAGTATCATTGTGTTTGAATCTACTTATTACTTTTTTATTTTCAAATATTATGCTTAATCTAGCTATATCTTCTTCTTACATTTTTTGTTGATCTTTTTATGCGTTTATTCGGATGATTTAAGATTATGAATGAAAGGGAAAATAGCATAAGAAATATAAAACGATTATATATTTTCAAATTGTGATGTTGTTTTTCAATTTCTTTAACGATAATAATTTAACAATTAAAAAGTTGGATTTGGTTACCTCATAAATTAAGATTCCAAACGCATAAACATCGCTTTTTGTTGTAAATTTCGGCTTTTTTGATAGTGTTTCTGGTGCCATCCACGGTATTGGCCAAGCGATATTCTCATCATCACTGGACAGCTTTCTAAATGACAAAATTATTAAGGGATATCAGTCTTTCCATCTCTTAGGATTAAGGGATATCAGGCTTGGTTATATCAGTCTTTCCATCTCTTAGGATCATCATATTTTAGATTTTAGTATTAATTAAGTGCACTTATTCAGCATAGGTTTCCATGATAAGTAAATACTCAAAAATAAGATAAGTATTTGAGGCATTGATAATTACAATTATTAATAATTAGTTATCATTTCCTGTAAAACCTCTTACATTTGTAAGAAAATTTGATATTGTTCATTATTTATTTATGAATACAAAATTACTTACTTCAAATCTTCCAAACGTCTACTTAAACCAAAATCAGATAATTTCAATGAACCATTGTTTCCAATCAAACAATTCCTAGCAGCAACATCCCTGAAATTGTCACCATTCTCGAGAATGTTCAATACGCGTAACATCTCTGATAATAATGCCACAATATCATCACTTCATTCAATTACAACTAAAGTTATTTTCATCAATTCAATTCAAGACTTATCTGAGAAATACGTAACCTTCTTACCACCTGTGGACACATTTTTTGAGTTGAAGATGTCGTAGTGCTTTGGCAGCTTCAAACAAAAATATATTTCGTTCTTCATTTTTAATTGTTTCTTTATGTTTAATAAGCAAATTTTTTAGCGAACCACCTGGACAATATTCCATTACTACCTAAAATGAAATCAAATAAATTTGCATGTGTATATTTCATATGACAAGCGTAACAACTTTAGAAGAATCGAACAAGTAAAATTTGAAACATATAAATAACAAAAAAATGAAGCCTTTAAGAAAAGCGAAAATTAAATAGTAATTACTATGTACATAATATCTAAACAAATTCCTACAACATTAAGATTGCTAAACAATAAACAACTTTGAAAATAAACAACCTATGTTATCTTCATAGCTTTTTTTTCTCTTTATTAAGTATTAATAAAATTATTCGATACACAAATTAATATGATCTATATTGCATCAAAATTGACATTTACAGAAATATAAAAAAGAAAAGCAAACAAAAGGTCAAATACCTTCACAGGAGCAGAATTACATGCTACTCCATATATTTTGATGATATTCTCATGCATGAAGTCGCAAACTAATCGAGCTTCTGCGATCATTTGCGATTTTGCAAGTTTTATTCTGATGATATCTTTAGTGGATCGTTTATCAGTGATGCTAACTTTGTCGACTTGCAAGCAACGTTTCACCGCAACACTAATTTCTTCATCTGAAACAATTAGCAGCAATATCGCTGAAATACTGATATGATTATATTACCAGGTAAATTCATAAGTAACTCTTAATGGATTGGAGAGTAATTTTCCAAAGTTGTTTATTGTTTAGCAATCTTAACGTCGTAGGAATTTGTTTAGTTTAACAGGATGAAGAAACAGAAAAAACAAATTGTAAAAGTAAAACTTAGCAATAGAATTATCCTACATGATGTCAAGAGTTTGGTGTAATAAAACATAAACTGATTCAAATGTATATGTCACACAAAGAATATCTTTTAACTTTCTTAAATGTCATATTGTTACTTATTACTTATCATAACTGTTTAAGAGTTCAAACGAATTAACTACTTTCTAGTATCAACGAATAACTTTTCCTTCTATAATATTTTCGCTACTAATCAGGCAACAGACAATGAATAAGATATTATCGGTTAAAAATTTCATTATGTAAATCTTTCCTTCAATTATGATTCTACAAATACGGCAAAAGTGAAATCCGGAAAATGCACTCTGAAATTAGATTTTTTTTTCTTTTTTGAGGAAATAAATACAGTTAGTATTGTTTACATGTAGTAATTTAAAGTATAATTCTTTATGAAATTATTTAACACTAACCGCCAACTTTTAGCATTCCTTTCAAGACTTCCGCATAATGTCCTTCGCCTAATTTAATATTTGTTATCTTCAAATTTTCATCGTTTAACAGATAATTGGGTCGATTAATTGGATTTCGTAGATTCATCTAAATGGTGACACTTTACAATAAATTTTGATTTTAAATTTGATTTAATTAAATTTGAAAAATATAAGGACAGGAAATTAGTAACAAAATTTAGTTACTGTGTTCCTTGGAGAGCTGAAATATCATCGATCAAAAATATAATTTATGAGTGTTTGAGTAAATCAAAACTTTTCATTTAACAATCATTTGGCATTTGAAAGTCAATGACACTACTCCAATGTTCTAATCCATTATCATGATAACATAGATTTAGTTGATTATTCTTTTATCATATCAAATAATTTATCAACAATACTAAAAAAAAAAAATATGAGATTGTTAAATAATCAAAAAAAAGAAAAAGAAAAAGACAAACTTTTTGGCAGAAACTTGATTCGCTTGATAAAAGTTCATGAATTGATCCATATGTGATCAACTCATTATTATTCCTATTCACATTTTTCACATCCATCAATGTCCATCCTATAATCAACTAATTAGTTCACAGAGTTCAAAGTTCAAAATAAGCATTCCACTTTTCAAAATTGTTAAAGTAGAATATTTACTCTGAACTCGTGTAATTGCTCTGAGTTATTTTTGATTACCTGAAAATTACGTCTAGGTTCATGGTGAACAAATTTAGCACAATCATAAATTTGATAATAATTATTTTATAGCTAACATCTTCATTCTTAACTTTGCTTAAATGTGTCCTTCTATAATTAAATATTTTCTAAATCACTAAATACTTCTCTATTAGATTTTATACATAAACATATAAAGGCATTAATTAATATTCAAACAGTTAAAGCTATTTAAACTTTTATTTTTTGTATTTTATAAATAATACCTTTTAAATTTTCTATGTAAACAAGTTTTAATTCGCGCACATTCTTTTCATCCACTTTTGTAATAACAAATAGCAAACGTTTTGCATTGGTACCTGAGCTACGGACACACCAATCACCTGGTTTTGATAAATGTGATACAATGTGATCCCTGCAAAAAAAAAAAAAAAAAAAAAAACGAATCCAATATAATCATTTTTTTTTAAAAAAAAAAAAGTTAAAAAATAACTCAAAAATCTGTTAATCAATTATGAAATTTCATTTGCATTTTCTGAAAATCTGAATTGTCTTTTTGATCGATTGTTTATATCTCCACAAATTAATATTTTATCAATTATTTTAATATTTTATAAATTTTACAAAATTCTTTTCCACATTACGCATAATAAAGTAATAAATTCAGTTTGTTCACCTTGTTAGAAATCCTAAATACCACGGTTGCATTTCAATTTTTTCCATTTTAGATATTATCAAATCGCACAAGAGTAAATAATTCACATAGTAAAATGGTAAATGATTAATGCAATTGCATCTTTTGTACTTTTAATTATTTTGCATATAACAAATATTATGGTAAAATCAAATGCAAAATATTTCTTATCTAAGATAGAATAATATATAAATAAGAAAAAAATGTTTATAAAAAAAGTTTTTCTTTTTTCTAAAACTGTTATTTTAATTTGATTTAAATTGAACTAAACGAGAAACAACAAAAGATCCTATGCAAATTAACATTTATAATTCCAAAAGAAAAGAAAAAAAAAAAAACAAAAATAAAATATAAGAATATAATAAAGCTTAGTAGTTAATTCCTCTAAATTCCAAAAGGAAAAAACTTGCGACTGTAAAGGACTGTTGATTGAAATTTTAATAAATGAATTAATTTATTAGTAGTAATTCAATTAAGTGAAGAAATATCTGTTAACAGGAATAAAATAAATATTAAAAAAAAAAAAATCAAAGTTATTTATTAATCTAAAATTAAAAGCGATGAATTTAAATTATATTTCACAAAAAGTAATACACCGAAAGTATAATATGAAAGTACGGAAATGATTCAAAATGAAATATTTAGTATTCTAAAATTAATTCTTCTCTTTACAATGCATAGAAACAGGAAAGAAAATATAGTCAAGCAGTAACAGATATTTTTATAGATGAATTGCAGGGAGGAAATAATTGCAAGAGATGCATTTCAGTTGTGCATTTCAGTGCAAGAGATGCATTTCAGTTATGCATTTCAGTGCAAGAGATGCATTTCAGGGCAAGAGATGCATTTCAGTTATGCATTTCAGTGCAAGAGATGCATTTCAGTGCAAGAGATGCATTTCAGGGCAAGAGATGCATTTCAGTTATGCATTTCAGTGCAAGAGATGCATTTCAGGGCAAGAGATGCATTTCAGTTATGCATTTCAGTGCAAGAGATGCATTTCAGGGCAAGAGATGCATTTCAGTTATGCATTTCAGTGCAAGAGATGCATTTCAGTGCAAGAGATGCATTTCAGTTATGCATTTCAGTGCAAGAGATGCATTTCAGGGCAAGAGATGCATTTCAGTTATGCATTTCAGTGCAAGAGATGCATTTCAGGGCAAGAGATGCATTTCAGTTATGCATTTCAGTGCAAGAGATGCATTTCAGTTATGCATTTCAGTGCAAGAGATGCATTTCAGTGCAAGAGATGCATTTCAGTGCAAGAGATGCATTTCAGTTATGCATTTCAGTGCAAGAGATGCATTTCAGTTATGCATTCCATTGCAATGTATAAGCAAGCATAATGCATGTATTATAGCATGCAACACGCCACTACAATGATAGTTTGTTGACAAAAAGCAAGCAAGCTTAATTAGCAATATAATATACTTCATGTATTATAAAATTGGTAAATCTTTGCCAGTTTTATAATATGAAATATTTAGAAACCGAAAAGTCAATTTTTGATTTCTTAAATATCCTAAAACTTAAGTATTCCTATAGACTTTAGGACATCATCAAGTATTGATATGAACAACTTCGAAATTATATAGTGCTACAGATAAATTTTTTAATAAATCTTTCCTCTATAAATCAGTTAAGTTACATATGCAGTAGTATGGTATTTTCTATATTAATAGTAAGTTTTGAGTGATCTATTTTTATCATATATATGTCCTTTGAAAATTAAAATTTCTTCTTTTGTTAAAAGAAAAATATAACTTTGAAAATTAAAAATAATATGCAAAAAGCTGATAGATTAGTTCAGGAAATGAGATAATTCAGTCTTAGCACATTGGCTAATCGAATTATCAAGAAATAGTATTATCAATGTATGACTTACAGAAGATGACTATCATTTCAACTTTTTTTTTATAAAGAATTACAGTTTGCAAATTGACTGCTAATGGCATTAACATGAACTTTAACAATGCTTAAGATTCAATCCCAGGCATTTCCCATGTCGTTTTCAAGGTGCATTTGTGATTAGGTCAACGCTTACCTTCTCTAACGCTCAGTACAGCTGCCAAACAGTTTAACAGATTTTAGCACAAGTTTGAATAGTTTGAACAGTTAACACAATGAATAGTTTCAAATACTGTTTTTCAACCAGTTTTGTAGTTGGCTAAAATTATTTGACATAAATATGTCGAGTCATGCTTTGATGTTTTTTTCGATTGCTTGTTACGATGTCAATAAAAATTTATTCTGCACATAACAATTAGATTAATCAACACTTTTCCTCACTGTTCCATACAAATGAAATTACATTACTTGCAGTAGAAAACGCTTCCATTTTGGTCCAGAACTGCCAAACACAATTTAACCACTTATTCCAATAAACCTGAAAGATAACATTTTCACTGTAATATTAACATCTTGAATCTGTATTTCATTTCCACCTGAAATCAGTTAGTTCTTAAATAATGTGACATTTATAATACCCTATTTGTAAAACTGACTACTCAGTACCTCTACTGCACGCGGAAAGCATACTATCATTATAGAAATGGTAGCTTTTGCCGTTCCTAATCAAACATTGGTTTGGTTTTTTCTTTTTTTTTTTTTTTTTTTTTTTTTTTTTCAGCAGTCTAAGATGAAAATTATAGCAATCTATCTTTAAAACCATATATTCTCACCTTAAAAACATTCATTTAAATTATTACCAATCACTAAAAGAAATCGTATAAAAAATTGTATAAAACTGTTTTATGTATTAAACTTCCGTATATATCTAATAATACATCTTGTAATACTACTTTCACAGCTAATAGAGCTTAATTAACGATGACAAAGAAATAAAGCAAAAGTAACTGTTAGATTTAGAATGTTAAAAAGAGACTAATTTATAACGCATAAAAAGGAATTATAAATGTACTTCTAGATGAGATGAATTCATTTCTACAACATCTGCTACAGAACCATCTTCCTTCGCTACAACAATTGCACCGTAACGAATCTAAAAATGAGGATAAAAACAAGGCTACAATGTTTTAAATATATTTCGTTCCAGGCTACGAAAACCAATTTCTGATTCTAAAACTTACACTAAACTTCCTAGGAAGAGAAGACACTGAAAACATCTGCTAGCAATCAAAACTTCGCCATGGTTTTTTAAAGTAAATTACACTGCTATTTAACAAAATTTGTGAATACAGGGCCCTAGTTTTCTAAGCACTTAACTTTAAGTATGAATTAATTTATTTTTCAAATTGTTAAATTTCATTTTACTTTTCAGAATGAGATAATTTATACAGCCTAATGAAAGAAGGTTCACTTTGCTAAGAATTAGTAAAGAAGAAGAACTAAAAAGACCTTATTTAAATGAACTAAAAAGTGAAGGAAAACTAAAAAAACGTTACTTAAATTAATGTGAAATTTCCACCTATTGCGTCAACAAAGTAATATAAATAATGCTAGTAATAAAAAAAGTAATAAAAAGCTAACTTCTGGTAACATTCTGAAATTTGGATCTGAATTAACAGCACCAATATATGCGGCTAATTGCACTGGATCATTGTACATTTTTTCAATTCCCGTACAAGCATCTTTTGATGAACCTGATGAAGCCGTTTTCCAATCCATCAAAAAGAGAGCATCTCTAAACACAATAGTACCCAAATATTGTTACCTGACTTGGCTGAAAAGTGGAAATCTGAGCACTCTCTATCAAATCAACTGGACGTTTTTTCATAAATGAAACTGAAAACTATGCTTAAATTTATTATCAAAAATTTCCCAATTTGATCAACATAGAGATTGAACATTTTCATGACACCATGTTTTGTGCCACATTAGTCGACATCTATGGCAAATAAATAAAAATTCTGCTTATTTAAAAATTAAGTTGGAACAAACTTATATGTGATGGTAGCATCGAATCGTCCACTATAGCAAAGACCGTGATGGGATGTAGGTCTTTCCAGTTCCATGTTCTTGCTATCAAGCGTACGCAAAATGGGAAGTACACTACTTAAATAACTTGCAACAGAACTGTCGACCTAAAAGTTTTATCATGAAAAAGCAAATTAGCAGTAGCAAAGAATTATTTGAAAAAATTTTACTTCGGAAGTTATTTGTTCAACAATATCATCAGGAAAACTTTCGCGCTTTCGAAGCTCTTCCAAAATTTTTTGTATGCAGCTATGATACTGCGTGCCAGACTGCATGCGAACTGAAAGCAACTACATGATACTAAGGAATGATAAAAATGAAATGCAACAGTGATCTAGAAACACAAATGCTTGAAAACGAGGAATAATGTATACTTCTTAATGAAGTTAATCATCCTGAAACTTATACCAATCTTTTGAAACACGTAGTGTTTAAAAACAGAGTGCAGTGAAAACATTAACAATGTGATAATGATTTTGCCAACTTCTGGATCAATAAACAGAATATAACACTATCCCAAATAGCAATGAAACAAACTTCTCATATATTTCTTGAAGGCACCTAAGCCACCCAATTGCTTTATCATTTTCAATTGCCATTGATACAGCAAATGTTGTGAAGTTGTACATCCTAGAACGGTTGAAACCGATGGATAACGACCATCCTCCACATTTACTGTGTTTTCTAGAAATTGATTTGTTTTCTGAAAAATGTAAAATAATTTAACTGAAACCATTAGAGAAAATAAACTCTCGACTGATTCAAAAACTAAACTGATAATTTCAACATCTATATTAAAAGATATTCGGAAAAGTTTGGCTATTATTAATTTTCCTACTAAATATCCATCAGTATTTATAACAAAAAAAACTCATAAAGAAATTTGTGCAGTATAAGGCAAAAAACAAACAAACAAACAAAATATACATTAGTTCTGGAGTTCTTTGAAAATTTCTTTTAACGTGAACGAAGTAAACTTACAACGTATGATAATTTCTGACGTGTAGCTAAGACTGATGGAGGAGAAGTAAGAAAATCTTTCGTCGGCAAAGTTCCAAGGATATTTTTAACAACAGTTGGCATAATTGCAGTACCATAATGAACCGTCTTTACACCAACTTTGCTTGCCATACTGCAGTATATCATATTTAAGGACCAAAAAATGTGACGTGTGAATGTAAACAATAGGTTGTTCTAATTGCAAAAAAGTGATATCCAATTTTAGTAATGAAAATCGCGGACAATTCCTTCATGAATTTTTTTAAAAACAGAAGAGGAACCACTTTACTCTTAACAGACAGTCAACAGTACTTATTTTGTTATAATTCATATGAAGTCATAGGGATGACCATTATTATTTTAAGAATGCCTTAAGAGACATTTCTATCTGACCCAGAAATGAATATTTTTCTAAATTGACACAGCTACATTATCTGCGAAGATTTTATGCTGCACTGACTTGACCACTGGTAATTATTATTGTGAAGAACGATAGGATCAACAAAAATCACAGTATTATGGCAACATAGACTTCAATGTTTGTATCAAATCTGTCATAAATTTACAGCACTGCAATGAAAACAATCATTCTACAGAAAATTACTTCTGGTCAATTACCATAAATGAAGAGAAAATGGTCACACTTAAATAAAGTCTAATGAAATTACATGGAATGCTTTTTGGTACGGTATAATTAGCTAATAGATGTAACTGAGTATTATAAGGTAACAACAAAAAAAAAAAAAAAATCAAGAAAGTACAAAAGACGATACATCTTCCAGCAAATTTTGAACAATGATTTAATCTATGATGGGACAAAGTTAGGTACAAATGGTGGAGGTGGCATGTTGACTTGCGGTGCAAGCATAAGCTTCTCTTCTTTCATCTGCTCTACATATAACCAGCACGGTGTTACTTGATAATCTGCAGGCGGTGGTTTGTAAGTCGGCTTGTGATAAGGTGGAGCTGCTCGTAGACCCCATCTTTTGTACATCGGATCATTTGCATCATAGGTTATCCTGTCACTACCCCATAACTGCGGAGGTGGCACTACTTGCTGTGCTACTATGGTTGCCTGTTGAGCCGCCTGCTGATATACATCTAAAAATGAAAACCTTATAATTACAGAATGTACATCATATAATGCTCATGTCTAGATTAAATCCTTAGGAAACAACTCATTTATTAAAGTAACTGAAATATTTTAAAATTTAAGCAGTAACACAAATATAATTATGCAAACTGTAAAAAACTGAAAAAAAGCACACTAAAAAAATCAAACAATTACTATCTCGCTGGTCACCCATAACCATTTGAGCCACCTGTGCCATATGTTTCATCATCTCGGCGACGTGTGTCGGATCTAGGGCTTCTGCAATTCTAATACGATAAATAGTACGAAATCATTTGATCTTTAACTAAGAAAAATATGTAAGCTATATGCGATTTCGTTCTAACCTGAAGATTTATAATAAGTTTTTGCTTTCTTTATCACATGCATAGCCAAAAATCGGAGTATGAAAGAAAAATGCTATTAAACAAGTAATAAATTGAAATGAGCAGAAAAGAATTTGCAATAACTACAAAGAAAAAAATTCGTGTTACCGTCAACACTTTTTGATTCTCCTGTATGCACAGATATGGTTTCTTGTGAACCTGCTACAGCTGCTTGATGCATTTGCTGCTCCAGCTGCATAGCCGTCTGATGATGTGCAAGGTATGATTGTTGATGTTGTGCATAAGCTACTGCTTGTGCAGCTGTTTCAGCTGTTCAGGAAAAAGAAAGATTCAGACTTCAAGAATTCTTAAGAAATTAATATAAGTTGGATTAAATACGAGAGGTTGAATTCGATAATCTGAGCTATTTTAAACACATTCATCACCCATTCAAGTGAACTATAAGGGCTTCTTGAAAAAAAAAATGTATATATATATATATATATAAATGATTTCTTATCTATGAAAAAGTTTAGGATTCACAAAGATTTGCGTAAGAGAGATTTCATTAAATATACTTGGTCAGTGTGAAGGTGAAAACTACCTTCTAATTGCTGCTTTTTTCGTTCCTCCTCAGCTTCTTGCTCTTTCTTCAGTTTTGCTTCAGCTGCTGCTTTCGCTTTAGCTTGTGCAGCAGCCTAAATGATTTTGCAAATGAAACATGCATCTGACATTACTTAAGTATTACTATCTAATTGTTTTCTAGTAACCCTTATATTTCCTAAAAAATGTAACTATTCAACAATTTTAGCGGTATTTGCGTCCAAACTGTTGAATGTATTATTCCATTTTCATCCAAATTATATATACAAAATATCACCTGCGCCTCTTGGGCATCGATTTCTGCTTTAGCACGTATCATTTCACGTCGTTGATCAACATCTCGTTCCCAAGCCTCAAATTGTTTCACATATGCATCATAAGCTTCTGTACCCACTGAACTCCTAAAAAATATGCTTTTGAATTTAACAGCAGCCTATAACAGTCAATACACAACAAAATGATCCAATATGTATATATGAGTGATCAACAAAATGATCGCCCATATATACATATATATTTGGCTATTTTGCCCATATATACATATATATTTCGCTATTTTGCTTATTTACTTCTGGCTTTCTCTCCTTCCTCAAATATTTTTGATAAACGTATATGATAAACGACTAAACAACGTAATTATTAAGCAACTGCTAACAAATGAAATATACTACTGAGTAAAATTTAGTGAAAAATCCGTTCAAAAAATAAATATTTAATGGTAAAATAACAAATAGAAAGGAAACAAACTTATTCTTTTCTTTCCATTGCTCAAATTGCGCTTTGTAATCTCGATATTGCTTTTCTAATTCTTCCTCTGGACTTAGCTGCACCATATTTCTCTACAATACACATCGATAAATTCATGAGCTTCAGAAACGATTTAATATCAATGAATCGATCAAAAATATGAAATCGACACGTTAATAAATTTGATAAAGCTCGGAGATAAGCTTTCCACTAGTTACCCTGTTAAACTACTTCCCACTAGTTACCCTATTAAACTACTTCCCACTAGTTACCCTATTAAACTACTTCCCACTAGTTACCCTATTAAACTACTTCCCACTAGTTACCCTATTAAACTACTTCCCACTAGTTACCCTATTAAACTACTTTCCACTAGTTACCCTATTAAACTACTTCCCACTAGTTACCCTACTAAATATTTCCCTAGTTACTCTGTTAAATTACTTCCCACTAGTTACCCTGTTAAACTACCCGCCAAACAAAAAACACGGTTCAGGACTGATTTGCTATGTTGTAATGCCTCATCACGACGTGATTACTTAAGGTCTTTGGTTCAAAACTTCAACATAATATTGAGAAGTTTTACCTAATAGTACACAAAAGTAAGTTAATAATAAATAATGCAGAGATGTAAGAAAGTATGATTTTTGTGAAATGTTTTGGTAGTAGGAATGATTTAGATTCAAAGAGGAATATTAAATGAACTGCCTACATTCACTCAAAGTTCCTTACAAGTGGATGTTAGAGAAGATAATTTGATTAAACTATGTCCATCTTTTTGAACTAGTATTATCTACCAAGCAAAGTTATTCATTCTAAATTCCATTTAAAAATAAAAAAAAAATTCCATCTGTTACAAAAGAAGAACGAAACTGTTATGTTTCTTTTATCTGATAATATTTCATCGTATTTATTCACAATTCCACACGATTTCCCCTAAAATATATTGTTGAGTTGTTTCTATATCATTTATCAAGTTATCAACTTGACATATGCAAAGGTCAATTGTTCATGTGATAATGAATAAGTAATCAAAACTGTGTAGTAAGTCAAACATGGAAAAAATATTGTTAAACCGATTTCGATAATCAGAAACCAATGAGATTTTCTGATTAATGAAATTTAAGTGTTTCATAAATATTTTTTACAACTTCATCCAACTTTTCCCAACTTATTTGCATTTCTTCTTTTTTGCTTATTTTTGAAACGAGAATATTCGCTTATTTTTGAAACGAGAATATTCAGCGCTTCATCTACAATTCATTCATAAATGGTATTTTTAACAATAAGTAATATCGAAAGTTTAATGAAATGTTCTGGATGAAGTATCTAGACGACTGAGAAGAGATAAGTTCAGAAATACTAATGTTTATTATCTTAGCGAATTTTCTTCCTTCTTTTCATTCCTAAATTATTTCTTAGATATTTGCTGTGTGATTTATATTATATGCAGTAGTATAATATTATTAATGATTTAATCTTTCCGCAAACTATTGCGCTTCTAAATATATAAAATGAATGATAGAATTATCCTAAAATATATTAATTTCTTTTTGATGCAAAATTGAATTAAATTAGACAAATATTGTTGCTAGGTTTAGCATTTTCATTGTGGGCGCGATCTGGTGACACAAATGTGATACAGTTTATCCCTTCCAACGAGACAGTAAGTTAAATTCATGTGAGGAAGAGAGTGCAGCAATATTTTGGGTTGTTTAATTCTTAGTCATCAGTTATTCTCTTTGTTTTCCGGTTGAGAGGTGTTTAAATTCTATCAAAATGTAATAAAGTGACGTCAAAACATGACAGAAGTTGTGTCAGCATGTGTTTATACATTATGTAATTTCATATCTAATATAGTACTAATATTTCATAGTAATTAGCATAACTTCACAATAACAGTTTTCATTTTTTACTAGCTTTCTTACACTGTATTCAGGACGCTTTCGGATTTTTTAATTCGTAAATTTTTTTCAGGTTTCGCTGTCGTGATCTGTTGAAACTGTTCAACGTAGGAGGTGAAAATAAACCAAAAGATGGCCGATGAACGTTCTCGTCGGGGCCTGAATCCTAACGCCCAAACATTCATACCAAATCCAGCTGCTCGTCCGTTCGTCCCTGGACAGCCATACGTTTTCACGACACAACCTCCGCCAATGTATCATCATCTGCCACCACCTGTCGTTCAGGGAAATTATCCGGTATATCAGCAGTATGGTCAGATGGGGTCAACCAACGTAGCGCAGCATATGGCACCATCATCAGTTACTACCCCGACGTATCATCAACCGGTTGCTACAACTGCTGCACCTTCGACGGAGATGCATCCAAATGCATCAACTACACAACGTGTATCCTCTTCACAACAACAGCAACAACAAGTTCCTATTGATGGTTAGTTTGCTGAACTGGACATTTAGTATGAGATGGTGAAGTGCTGTTATTGCTTTCTCCCAGAACAGTTTTGATTTTGACGCAAAATCCTGCCAGAACTGTTTATAGTATGAGCCTGCTAACGATTTTCGAAGAAGTAGTAGATTTACCACATGTTTAAAAAGAAGTATCGCTTGTCACAAAGCCTGTACATAAGTGATCCAAAACAGTTGTTTCAGCAACCAGTTAAGCATGGGACATTATTTTTGACTGGTTATTGCTAAATATTTTTACAGCTTGGGATGACGAAGCAGATGAAAAAGAAGAAGTGATAGGAAAAAGGGAAGAAATGGTAAAAGAAGAAGCGATGAAAAATGGTTCTTCACTTGAAAAAGTATTTTTTTATTTCTCTACTACGTCTTTGCTCTACTACACATCTTTGCTTCTCACTGTTTAGATTTTAATTTTTTTTTAGATCTCATTATGAAAAAAATTTTTTTTTTTTCAATGCAGAAGAAATTTCTCGAGATTGATTTAAAACATTTCCCTCTAATTTTGTTTACTGATGCAAAGTAGTAATATTTTCAGAAGGAGCAAGAACCGGTGAAACCTATGGATTTGGAAACAGTGAAGCCAGAAAACACCAAAAACAAAGCAAACAGTTTGCCGGTTACAAAGGAAATAGATGACGAAGATGCAGCATTATCCGTAAAGTTCAAGCATGCTGCTTATATAGATGGTTTGATTTTTTAGCATTTATCCATATTAAATTTTTTGAATAAATGAAGATGTAAATTGACTTGAGTTGTTTTATAGTTATTGGGCCTGAATTTAACTTAAAAAATTTATTCGTAAGTTGTGTAATGGAAGTGTTTTCTTCAATAATGGATTTAAAAAAAAAAAAATGATAAATTGTGTAATGAATGTTTGTAGACAGCAGTCGGAAGGAGCACGTCAATATGGTTTTTATTGGGCACGTTGATGCTGGTAAATCTACGATTGGTGGACATCTAATGTATCTTACGGGAATGGTGGATAAGCGTACACTGGACAAATATGAAAGAGAAGCAAAGGATAAAGGAAGAGAATCGTGGTTTGTCTTAATGATTGTTTGTTTGTTTTTCTTTTTTTTTTTTTTTGGATTTTGATGAAAATTTTGAACTGTTGATTTTTACCATATCATAATTCGTTCTGTAATTGCACAAACAATTTTTTTTTTTCGATATTAATTACCGAATTATCCGTCGTCGATACTGCACTTCTGATGGTAACACAATCGGATATGGTGCCTCGTGGGTTGCCAAATGGTAGGGAGAAGCTTATAGCATGGTGTAACTTCAAAAACAAACTCGATTTGTTGTGGGATTAGTCCATGGTCTTCTTATTTTCGGTATCTGTCATGGGCATTGGATACGAATGATGAAGAGCGGGAAAAGGGCAAGACCGTTGAGTGTGGACGCGCATTTTTTGAAACTGATAAGAAACATTTTACAATTCTGGATGCACCTGGACACAAATCATTTGTACCAAATATGATTAGTGGAGCAACACAAGCAGACCTAGCCGTATTGGTTAGTTAATATTTTTTAAAAAAAAAATATATAGCTTAAAGAATTTAGATTTATCATGTTTCATGGGGACAGTTAAAGCGTTCTTGATCTTTTCTGTTGTTCATTCGGCAGCTTTTTCATCATTTTCAATGTTGAATTGGTCGCATTCTTTACAGTTTTATATCCCTTTCATTTCAAGTGACCTGTTCAGTGTACAACTCACTAAAAGAAGTTTTTTTTTAGGTCATCAGTGCTCGAAAAGGTGAATTTGAAACCGGTTTTGATCGAGGTGGCCAAACGCGTGAGCATGCGATGTTGGTCAAAACTACTGGCGTGAAGTATCTTATTGTGCTAGTCAATAAAATGGATGATCCTACTGTCAACTGGGATGAGGAAAGGTGTGTTTATTCATGCATTGTAACATTAAATGTTGCTTGTAAAAAAAAAAAACTTGAAAGAGTATAAATTTTTTATGCAGGTACAAGGAAATTCAAAACAAACTTACACCTTATTTACGGAAGTGTGGCTTCAACCCGAAAACGGATATTATATATATTCCAGTTTCTGGGCTTACCGGAGCATTTCTGAAGGAAAGGCCAAATTCCCAATTCGGTTCTTGGTACACGTAAGTTATGCTTATTTTTGGGGGGCATCCGAATCTATAAATTTTGTAGATTTTTTCGTGCTTCTATCTGTATGACTGTTGTCGCTGGTGTCTTATGCTTCTGATACTGAAAGCTATTTGCTATACATAACTGTTTGGCTACTGGTTTTTTATAAATTTTCAGTGGTCCATGCTTCATTGAATATATTGACACCATGTTACCGTCAATTAGTCGTGATTATGAAGGACCAGTACGAGTTATTATTGCTGATAAATACAGTGTAAGTGTATCCTTTGCTCATATATTTTTATGTTTATTAGTTGCTCATTTATCTTCATTGTTTTTCCATATTGAAAGCCAGTTTGTTTCGTAGAGTTTTAGGAAGTATCAGTAAAACATAATTTTTCAGGATATGGGCACTATAATTATCGGAAAAATGGAATCAGGTGTTTTAGTTAAAGGCCAAACGTTAACAGTTATGCCAAATAGGGTTAGTTATGTAGAAGGACTGATGATGTGTTTTGTTTGTAACATTCAAGCCATATTTTATGCTGGCACATTTTTTATGTTTTATAAAAAAGAAAATTTGAAGAGTTTTAGTCAATGGAAACTTTTAGACAAGCATTCAAGTAATTCAACTGTGGTCGGATGACGTGGAAGTTGACAAAGTGGTTTCTGGTGATAATGTGAAGCTAAAGTTGAAGGGAATTGAAGATAATGACATTTTGCCCGGTTTTGTGTTGTGCTCTCCAGATGCACTATGTCACGTGGGAAGAGTTTTTGATGCTGAAGTAAGATTTTTCCTCCATTTTATGGAACAACTTTCTTAGGTATCTTCGACAATGGACTTCTTTGAATTTCTCATCTTTTCTTTTTATATATAAAGAAAAGTAAGCTTCAGTTTTGATTTATACTATACTGTTATCTCCTTGTTTTCAGGTTGTTATTCTGGATCATAAATCAATAATCGCGTCTGGTTATTCTTGTGTGCTACATATCCAATCGGCAACTGAAGAAGTTATCGTGAAGGTTTGTTTCATCGGTGCAACCGTTTAAAATGTTTGGGAATTTTGAAGCTAAGAAACTAAATTGATGAGTGCATTATTCAAAATCCCGCACTTTTAAAGTAACTACATGAAGCTATATTTATTATTGAACGAGCGGATTACTAAATTAGGGAACATTTATTTTTTTTTTAAAGCCTAGATTTTTTCCGATTGGAAAATAATTTTTATATTTTGTTTGAGGATATTATCTTAACTATTTCGTTATAAAAGGCGCAATTCACATCGTGGAATGAGCTTTTTAAGAAGAATTACTGCAGCCTTTCAACATTTTCTTAATAATCTTGTTTTATTTATAGGCAGTAATTTGTACAATTGACAAGAAAACAGGAAATAAGGTGAGAGCAAGATTCGTGAAGCAAGATGAAAAGTGTATAATGCGGTTGGAAAGTTCAGAATCATTCTGTCTTGAAGCATTCAAAAACTTTCCACAAATGGGACGTTTTACGCTACGAGATGAAGGCAAAACAATAGCTATTGGGAAAGTGCTGAAAGTTGTAGAATGATCGTGTGATGACGTTTAACATTCACATCGATTTTTAATGTTGATTTGTCTGAATATGATGAGGCAGACTTTTAGTATTGTTTTTCATTTTCAGTTTTCAGTGTAGTAACGGCAATGATAAGTAATGAAGCCAAAAGCTTTCTTTGAGGAGGTAGTATTTTAACTTGACTGCTTGCTCCTTTCCAATGTTTGTCCGGAGTATCTGGACATCCTTCCATCATTTCTAGGCAATGAGGTTAAACATATGGGAAGCTCATCTTTTGTAAACCCTGTACTGTTTGTGTAGCAAGTACTTGTAAAGTGCTAAGCTCAACACTAATCTTGTACATCTTTAATAAGTCATTCTTTAGCTCCTTCAGCTTGATTCTATTACATTTTTAAAACATGTAAGCGAGTTGATAAGTTAAGTTAACCCCAACGGCGAATTTTCCGTAAATTCATTGGTCTTCACAACCTATTTTTCAAAATACAGAAGAGCTATATGAATTATGATATTAGAAGGAGCTGTACTGTTTCTCATGCTGAAGAGAAGTAGTTCTAGTCGATATCATCAAGATTTGTTAATTCATCCAAACTAAATGTTCCATAGCTGATGAATTGTTGATGAAGAAAAGAAAATTCAAAGAGCACTTTTCCACTAATTGTTAATTGTTCATTTTGTTATGTCTACTTTCCTTTATACTGTCGAACTTATAGTGATGAGAGAATTTTCTTTCGCATTAAAGGAATTTAAGAGGAAAGATTTATATGCAAAACAATTTATACTGACAAATGAAAACGCTAAACTTCGCGAGTTTTTTTCTTTTTTTTTGAAAGTTTCTTAGACATTTATATGTGAACACCGAGTAATTTCATACCTTCATATTAGCTTTTACGAAATGTGAATTAGAATACCGGCAGCACTATGAGTGAGATGATAGATACATTGCATATGTCTTTATAGCAATATACCAGGAATAAACTAAACGAAACAAATCCGCATAGGGATTTTGCGGAAGTCATAAGATGCTTGTTTCACTGAGCCTCAGCACTAGATGACAAGGCTTCAGAATTGTCGCTCTTCGCAGATTCTAGTCCTTTCTTCTTTTTCTTCATTCGTTTTCCAATCTCAAAAGGATATAGTAAATAATTATTGGAGTTGCGATGGAAATAAGTTATGAAACTTAAGTTCATGAAAGACGACGTCACTCACTTTTTCAATTTCTTGTTCTGTTGGGATTGGCAAAAATGGATTAACATCGAGAGCAAAGTGAGCATCACCAGGTATTACCATAATTAATGCGCGATTGATGAATGGTCCTAAAAAACGGTGAAGATGGAGACAATGACTAATTTAGCTGATCATTCTTGAACGATAGGATAAAAAGTAATTATTGTACAAATAGGTAAGGTATGAATATTATGAACTGGGGTTGACTGATATTCATACCCATTATATAGTCACATTTTAATATAACTGTAATTTCTCTCAAATGAAAAATGGTGAAGAATTATAGTCAAATTGAAAATATCACTTAGCTTACTGTTTGCTTACCTAAAGCAGGATTTCGATGTTTACATAAAGCTTCAATAACAGCTGCAATATTTGCCTTTAATTCATCATCGTTCATTGCTAACTGAAACTGATAATGCAATTTTTGAACACGTCAAAATTGAGTACACATTTATTTTAAAATTGCCTTAAGTGCAGTACTATGCAAATATATCTTATACAACAATTTAACTTACTCGTCCTATTACGGTATCACAGAGACCCCAAACCGGCATGATCGGATCACCTCGAATTGATAATTTTATACCATTCTTAAATTTACCGATGATTTCTTGGAAGTCATCACCAAGACCACCTGAGAAAAGAAATTCTATATAAAATAAGATATAAAAATTTATGTCACTATTAGAAGTTATCTGAAAAAGAAAAAAATCATATTATTATTTGAATGTCCTGAAATGAATAAAAATGTATTCATCCTTTTCAATAAAAAAAAAAAAAAAAAAAAGGTAGAAGTGACAAAGATTACAGTAACCAATTGTAGGTCTCTGATTAACAGCTAAGACGATGTTAATTTAAAATATTAAAATACAGTCACGTACCATTGATTTTATTTGGAAAACGTGATCTTAAAATTCCTCGTAAGGGAAGAATACTGGAAGCCATATCAGTATGTGCAACACAGAAGTCATAATCATCAATGCGAAACATTCCTTTGATAATCTAAAATTAATTAGTTTTAAAGCGTACTTAAACGACTCTTCAAAAAAAAATTTAATAATCACACCAAAATTATTAGCGTAAGTCAATTCTTCATTCGTAGAGATATAGTGCTCTTTCTCATTTACCATAAATTGTGTGAGAGTTCACTTTTTTTTCCATGGAAGTTTTCAATTTTTTTATCCTTTACTATGGAGAAATCGTCTTGGAATAAACTTTGTGAGAATATTATATATGTTCTATCACAAACAGTATAGCTCCTTTTAGAAATTACAACGAAAATCACTGGTATACAAATAAATATATGTGCAAGAATGAAATTCAAATCAAAAATCTCTAAGATTTCAATTCTTAATCAACAATCTCAAGTTCTATTAATTCAACTATCCATAATTATCCTTTTTGTGTTATTCCTATAACAACTACAGCCATACCAAACTTTTATTATCAAACCTTTTTAATCATATCTGGGCCGAGTGCAATTTCAGCACCGGCTTCGACGGCGGCATCCCGATTATGTTGTTCATATGCAAATGCCAATATTGTTCGCTTCTCGTTATGTTTAAATGGATAAGGAATTGGTACTAACTCTTCGGAATCGGCAACCATTTTAGTCTAAAAAGAAAATTTTAAGATTAGTTTGAAATGAGAAAAAGCGATAAAACTATGACGAAATATGCACACCAATATTCAAAATGAACCTTTCTTTCCGTCGTCATATTAAGTTCCATACGTAAACGAATACGTGCGTTCGGATTATTGTAAATGGATGGTTGCTGCATTTCCCTGTCAATTTACCAAAAAAAAATAATTTAACCTTGAAAACAAAAAGCATTATAAGTATTTTATTTAAACAACTATAAGGTTGTGCTTCAGAAGAGCGAATATATCGGTGTCTTGGAACAACATAGCAGAATAAGCAGTAAATAGGTTTATCAGTAACTGCATAAGACCAGTTTATCAAAGAAAATAAATGAAATAAAAGTGATAAACTCTTTAATTTTAATTACCTAATCACAATATGGAAGCTTTAATCTAAATTGTAAGAATTTTAAAACCTCGGCGTAAGCAAATGTATAAAAAAAGTGACTCTAAAGAATTCCAAATCAATAATTGATTAATTATGACTAATTTAAGCTGATAAGACAGAATTATTTTCTAACCTATGCATTTGAAGTGCTTCTGAAACTGAGTAATACTGAGTTTTGTAAGCACTTCGGATAAAAATATTTGTGGTTGGCTTATCTGGTAAATGTGCTTCCTTCGCTGGATTCAACCGACCAGGAAACTGTTCCGAAATGGAGGTCCTAAAAAGAATAACCAAATATAGCTTTTCTATAATATCACTCAACTCTCTTTTATCCTAATTGAATTAGTTCTCAGGAAAGATGAAAAAAAAAAAAAAAAAATTTCACATGTGTTTCATTCTTGAGATTTGGATCCTCTGCATGAAAGTGTATTTTTTCCGCTCCGCTTCTTTTGCTTCTCGTTTCAATCGTCTTTCCTGGCGCTCCTGTTTAGTAAGCGCACGTTTCAGATTACGTTTACGTCCTACAAATCAATAGACAGATTAATTGCTGTATTATTCTTATTTGTGTAACTGGGATGGGAGGGGGGGGGGGGGGGGGAGAGGGGGGAGTGGGAGGAAATCAACTAGCTTGCGAAATCTTTTAAATACGTAAAATTAAAAAATGCATACTAGAAAAAAGTAAATGGAGTGAAACTTAATTCAGGTACGTGTACTATTTAAAGAAATTCAAAACCTATACTAAAATACTATGAAAATAAAAAAATTCGAAATGCTTCCTTCTCATCGGATCATTCAAAATTACAGTAAATATTTCTTCACCTCGGTACTGCTGTAAGCTATAGATCGACGGAAGTAGTAAGCAGAATTCCGGATGTCCTATTACTGCCTTATTGCTACTACATGCAGCCCATATTATTCCATTACTTATTGACGAAAGCATAGCTTTGCAACAGCACTCCTAAAATTATGCAATTATTTTTACAAAATTATTAGCTTTAAAAAACAAATTATCCAATCTCTTTTACTTCATGTTTTTTTACTTCGAAGTATGCTACTACAATTTGTTGATCATCAGGCAAGATAGTCCGAAATAGATTATCTAATATCAGGAATAGATAATTCAGAACTTTCTCATATCCATGCCAAAAGTAATCAGTCTTGATAAAACTCCCAATTTCCAATTAACATCGTTCCTTCCAAAAAAAAAAAACCTTTTTTTCTCAATAAAATTAGAGAAATGTATATACACACAGCTAAAATTAAGCAAACACCTGTTTCATATATCATCTCCAGCATGCCTAACATTTGCATCTTGAGAATGTTATTTGTTTGAGTAGTTCAACTTTAGTTCATTCAACTTCGAATAGTTCAAACTTAATTGAGTAGTTCAAATTCTGTTTGAGTAATTGGATTAGCAATAATCAATACTGCATTCAAACCAAAAGTACTTTTTGTCAGAAAATAACCTCGTTTAAATGTTTTATTAATTATAACGATCAATAAAACATACAATTTATAACAAAGAAACAAGAAATGATAGAAATTAAACAATTTATCTGCTATGGAAAGGTAAACCCGTCACAAAAAGGGTCTATCCATAATTTCAAGTACGATTAAATCATAACGAGAGGACAAGTTATCCATCCCTTTCCTAGTACCACTCAAGTAAGGTTTTCTAATTCATTGGTGAATTTTCGAGGCATTAGTTTTTAAAATGAATTCTAAAATTATTCAAAAAAAAAAAAAAAAACATTCTTTACATGCTATCCACTCTTTTAGCTCCTTTAACTCCTGCCATTTTAACTATTAAAATACACCAATACATTTTCCTTCATTTCTCTTCTAACAGAATCTGATGTCTCACAAATTTGTAGCTTGCATAATACATTTGAAGCAAAAATCAATTAAATGTAGTAAAATGAACAAAAGTGATAATTATTATCAGTATATCACTATCAACAAGCAATAAATAGAATTTCAATACAGCATACTGTATGAAATAGTTGCGATTTAAATCACTTGTCTGGAAAGAAAAGTAGTATCGCATACCTCCATCCAGAGTATTATGAGGTGCACATAAGGTCATGATGAGATATCTACTATCCTCTACTAGGAAAATATATTTTTTAAAACTTTGCACCGTAATTCTTATCTTTTCCATCATTTATTTGATTGAACAAGAAAATAATAAATGAATCCTTGTGATTATCACTCTTGTCACCAAATAAGCGAGATGAATAGAAAATTCGTCGGACTCATTTTCCTTAATAGGCAATTCAAAGAATTTGATAAAAAGAAAAAGAAGCAAAATGGATGTTTATAAATCCTTAAAAGCATTTATGATCTCAATTTGGCATACTTTTTTTCTGGAAAATCAAACGAACTGCTATGCTATCATAAAATAGTTCGCTTCAAAGCACAATAAGGAGAATTCTAAGAATGCAACACTCGAAAAGCATTATCATAAATAAAAAAGCATGAAGTGCTATTTTCTTCAATGAAATGCTCTAGGCATTAAAACAAATGTTAAATTCAAGGCTACAATTAGTTGTAAGACAGCTTAAGAACAATAACAACATTGGCAGGATTAATTTTGCATAAGTTGCAGGAAGAGTGTATCCCAAATTAACTGCAACTTTTTTGAAAGATGGTCAAACAAGGAAGAGTTATTAAACTTCAAAAGTGAAAAGTGAAATATTAACGACCCAAGTCACATGATGTCTCAAATACTTCAAGACACTAGTGAAGTTGTTCGATGCTTTGACGTGCATTATGCATGTAAAATCGTCAAGAAGAGCTCATACAGAAATATAATCTAACTTAAATAAATCGAAAGTTAATAATGAACTGTCCTAGTGAACAACACAACTCTTAGGTTTGTTTTATTCGAAAAACTCTGAGTACTGAAAGCACAGGTAAACAGCTCAAGTTTTCAAGTTTACCTAGGATAAGATGAAAAAGAACTCACCGAGAAAGAAGTTCTGCAACATGCATTAATTTAAATTACAATCAAATAACAATCCGAAAAGCAAACATTTTCATCTTAAAAGCTCAACAATCACCACGAAGCAAGAAAAGTTACAGCTCTTTTTTTTTGAAACAAGAAAGAGAGAGAGCTGTTTGAATGAAAGATGGGATATACTGAAAGAGAAACGTACGTATTGCCTTGAATTAAAAAACCCGGAAAGCGCAGTTTTTTTTTTCCTTTTCTTAATTAAAATAAATCCAAAGAATAAAAAGAAAAGTCAAAAAAGGAAAAATCTATTATCAGCAAAAACGAAAGCAATGTGATCGTGTAGTACACCGTGTGTTTTGATGATATCTGATTCTGATGAATGGAAGAGATCCTAACAAACGTGCAGTGGAGAGAGACGGTTACTACAGAATAGTAGGTGAGTCACCAACCAACATCCTTTTAATCACTATCATATAAGCCTTAAAAATATTGATAAAAACACGTTTTTATCCTTCTCTTTTTTTGACTCTATCATTTTTGCATCAAAACACATGGAAATTTGTATTATCACCAGGATGCTATATTATCCTTCCTTTATATTGCTAACTTAAGATTAATTTACCCGTTTCAAATAAGTAGCAAGAAGTGCAGTAAAATAAAAAAATATATATATATGAGGATTTTTAGCGGATGAGAATGAAGAAGATACACTGTGCAAAACTCATAGTGGAACTACTGACTTGGATCCTGAAGTGTTTGCCACAGCAAAATGTCTACCAGTCTAAATGTCAGCAACAATTCAACTAATTAAATTGCTTAAAAAAGTAACTTGATGGATGATAGTGAATTCCCTCCTTTCAGAATGATTCATAAAAGATTCTGCCCGCATTTGATCGATGAATTAAGCAAAACGACGAGGATGAATTAAGCAAATAACCATATAAGCATGACTGACACCTAAATTTTCACGGCTACTTTTTTTAAAAGCACCAGATCATAATGGAATGATCGGCAAACTAGTTATTGATTAAAAAGTTGCAAATTAATTAAAAAAGCAATAATGATAACAAAATAAGTAATTCAAAGTAAGGAGTGCAATAACGAATGACTGGAAGGAACAAAGAGAGAAAGAGGATAATTTACAGCACTGTACAACATCCCTGATTCTGCTTGATGCGTGCATTCTGAACATAATTCATCTCACGTACAATTTCGGCAAATACAGTATTCACATTATGTGCACTCTTTGCTGAGCATTCCGTGAATGGACATGACCAATATTCTGCTAAACCAAGACCATCTTCTGTACGTACCTGAAAAGCAAGAATTGTAAAGTGAGAAAAAAAAAAAAAAAATGGCATTTATAAGGTAACAAACAATTTTATATCATTCCAAACTAACTCTGGTAAGAAAACATAAGAACATGCAGAGAGTAAATAAAGATCTAGAGAAGATTATATATACTGAACTGATGAAAAAGTTTGCGGCATCCAAGTCAATTCATGGAAAATATTTACCTGCCGTTGATGAATTAGGTCACATTTGTTACCAACCAATAAAATAGGCACTTGATCGGTACCCTAAAACTAATGTTTCAAATAATATGATTCATTGTTTATTGCTTAGTTGCATTTTCTATACTAAGTTATTGATGATGTATAAGTTATTCATCCCATAATGAGTTATTTATCTCATCGCTTCGAAACAAAGTTTTTTTTCTTTTTTTTTTTAATGTTCTATTGACTTCATAGTAGCAGTGAACAATATATGAATGTAGGAAGAATTCGGGTAGTGTTGGAATTTTAGTGAGAAAAAATTGTTGAATATCGACCATTGTTAATTTATGTTTTGGTCCTAACTAGTTTAAAGATTCACCTTGACTCTAACAATTTGTTCACGCATTGTTTTGATGTCATGAAATGTTTGTTGACTTGTTATTGAATACACCACCACAAAGCCTTGTCCATTTTTAATATATAGATCACGCATCGATGCAAACTGTTCTGTACCCGCGGTATCCAAAATTTCCAGCACACATGGCTGACCATCTACCTGAAACTTTCATTTTTCATAATGAACTAAGTATTATTCGTTTTCAACAATGATTTGGTGACCGAATCCAGCAGCGCCTTTTGGAAAACATTAGCTGCTTTAATTTCACATTACATCTCAATATTTGGTATTCCTTTTCTGAAAATGAGAAATTTCTCTTTTAGTTCATAAGAATTTTTGAAACATTTAATTTGATTTCTGAAAAAAGTGAGTTTGCACGACCACCCATAAATGAGTAATCCTAAACTCTATATACTTTGATTTCAAAAAGTCTGAATCTACGACATTTTTGAGAGATTGGAATAAATCGGCCAATAAAATACAGAAACTACAAAAAATGTTGAGGCTTAACTTTTTCCTACTCTCACTTTCTCTAAAATTAAAGAAAACATTGAAAAAACCTCAATTTCTTTCCGATAAAAGTCCTCAATTGTCGGGTCATATTTTTCGATAAATGTATTCGAAACAAATTGAACGGTTAGAGCTGATTTACCAACACCTCCGCTTCCGAGTACCACTACCTGATAAGGTTATCATCGTGTATTATTACATATTAAGTGACAACTGGTTAAAGATAATGATTGTATCTTTTTTATTAAAATCATTGATGTGAATTATTACGATGCTTTCAGTCCCAATTTAAATTTTTATTAATAAAATTAAAGATAGTCTAAAAATCTTCACCTTGAACTCGCGCATACTCCGGTAGGATAACGAAACAGGATGGGACAGATCTCATTCAATGTAACTCGACAATACCTATCTCTGTAATTGTCAGATGGATTGTTATAACAAAATAAATTTTTTTTTAAAAATGCGCAATTGGTAAATAAGGCAGTTTAAAACAAACAGATAAATATAATTTTCAAGAAACTGTATTCTATGGGTAATGTCATTTTGATCCACGCAATTAATAAAGTAATACACAAATTAATTCAGGAGAGGCAAGCGAAAATTGGGAAAGCAAAAAAAGAAACTGGAAATTTCATCGTGTTATAACACGATGAAGATGATTCGAGTTGATGACTCATCTCAAATGATAAAGTGATATCGAAATTTGATAGCAATCTAGGACAAAACTAATTTGTGAACAACAGTTGCTCATTACTGATAATACCAATATCACTTGTTATCTCTGATACAGTAGTAATGGATATTAGAGACATCATACAGCCAGAAGGAATTTTTTTTTTTTGAGGTTTTTAGATTGAGATCCAATGAAAAGATATGGCCAACACTAACCGTTATGTAATTCCATCAGTAGTGAAAACATAAAGAAATGTGAGGAAATGCATGAATCATTCACAGAAAATAGATAATTCTGGAGAAAATAAGAGATATCTGTGTAAACCTTTGGCTCCGAAAAAATTTTAAATTGTCTGAAATTAATTTCAGAGTAAATTTCAATTATTGTAACGTTTTAAGCAGACTTTTAAGCAGTACGATCAATGGGCTAACAAGAAAATGGTTGGCTTACTGAGAAAGCTTATCTAAATGAAAGATTGGAAGTGATGCAAAGAAAGTAGGTTTTGAAGGAGAGAGAAAGAGAGGGAGAGGGAGGGAGGGGAAGAGATGGACAGCTAAAGATACTGTACGGTTTAACGGAATAATAATTGACTGGAAGTTGAGAAGAATTACAGGGAGTATGCCTCGTAGTGATTACAGTAATTGAGAGTATAAGAAAGGCAGATGAAAACGAAGAGAGAACGTTGGAGAAGAAGGAACAGAAACGTAAGTGTCTCGGGAAAAGCACTTTCTTGAAATGTGAAACGGGCAATTTGCCTATGTTATAGGTTAGTGCACAAGTTGCGATGAAGTTTGTAATGTAAAGGAGATGGTGCCGGGTTAAAATGGTGAAAGGGATAAGTGGGACTGCATTCCGGTATTTGTCTAATCTGGTAGCAACCGGGCCGGAAAGGACGGAAAGATAAGACAAGACGGAGGAGAGACAAATATATTGAAACAATAGCAATTTATTTTCAAATATTTCTGCACGAATTGAGTAGAAGAAAAAGCTTTTGTTGGCTGTATAAATGGGATGATGAATAGACAGGAATTGAGGGAGAGAAAGGAAGAGGAAAAGATCGTACGGCTGAGCAAATGATTGATATTTCATATTGTCTGTGCTTAACCAAAATTGTTGGAGAAAGTTGATGGTGCAATTAGAGAGTGGCAAAATAAGCAGGGAACATAGATTTTCTGCTTTAAAATGCTGGGAGGAAAACGGAAGATGAAATTGTTCGATTAGCTCTCCCGCGGGAAATAGCTGCCGTGAAAGAAAGCGGGCAATTTGATAGCTCAGTTGCCCGCTTTCTTGAATTAACTTCATTGAAAACTACCACAGAATGCAATATTTTATCATCGTATTTAGCCACTTTTAGTGCTTTTCCTACTTCATTCCGATATGTTTTGATGAATCGCGAGGCTTTGAGGAATGTAAGTGAAATATGAATAAGCCTATGAGAAATTTGTAACTTTGGAGAGAGATAAAGTAACTTAAACATAGCTATTTAGACAAAAGCAGAAGAAATAGCCGCATGACAAAAGAAGAGTAGAAAGAGAGAGAAATTACCAGCTTGATAATTGTTTTAAAATTTCTAGGAAAGTTATGAAGTCGATGAATGTACTACAAAGAAGCAAACCATAAAGAATCAGAATTTTGGACGCCAGAGATAGAAAGATAAAATTTGCGAATCTGTATTGTTGCTATTGAGAAGATGTAAATAACTGTTATAACTTTTGTTAGTTCATTAACCACTTTATAATATATGAATAAAACTCTGAATGAAATAATGACTCCACAGTGTAACGTCAAATTGTCACGCATTCCAAAGTGCATGGTGATAACAGGATGCTTTGTTAGACTATTTTACAAAGATTTTTGTTGTAAGCAACTTCAAATAATCTTACCACATTTATACAATAATTTAACATTCAGTGATGATGATAATGATGATGACGATGATGGTGGTGATAGTAGTGATATCAAGTTGTAAACAAAGAGACAAACATCAAATTAGTCACCGAAATGATATGCTATCGAAAGAGTTGTCTTGGTGAGTCACGTTTGTGTTTAGGCATGCAAGAAATCCCATAAGAGGGAATATAACGTTTATTTCTTCTTTGTTTCAATTTCCGTTTGGGGAGCGGAATAAAAAAACCTAACTAAACGATTCATTGAACGTCAAATATATAATGTGACTCCCTTTTCTGTTCCCTACAATAGCTGATCCAGACTTTTTTTTAGTTCTTTTTTCTAACACATTTCTTTTATTACTTAAAAGTTACACAAAATTTAAGGAATTTAATTTAAAATTAGCTCCCAAAAAATTGTCATTTAAGCATTCTAAAAATGCACTTTTCTTTCTTCCGCGACTTTCCCTTATCATCTGATTATTTAGTTCAGTATCGATTTACCTCTTTGTGCCCTTGCATATAAGTTTTGTGACTGCTTGTTAAATTGTAACTTTTCCAAAATTAAAACCCTGTATCTTCTGACATTCTTCCTGAGATACTCTCGAATACAGTTACTTTCCAATTTGTAAGCTTTATGGTGAAAGCTGTCAGGTTTTTCCCGTGTGCCTTGTTATTTAATCCACTGCTTTTGTTTACATTTTTATGTAAAAATTCCCAGAGTTTAGTTTACCTAATTTGCATTTAATATATCGTAGGTTTGTATACAGTATCCCGGAGAGATACGGTAGATTACTGTATTTCTTCATTAAAACGAGAGAGAAAAAGTCGAAGATAGTTGTTTACTGATTAGTTTGATGAGCATAATGTAATGTTGTAAAAGTCAATTATTTACTATGCAGGACTAAAATATCGACAATTCGAGATTTCTTACCACTTATCTGTCGAGAAGAAAGTTGCAGATGAATTTACTCCCATTTTCTTTGTAACAAACTTCATGAAAAATGTATTTTCTGATGAAATTATCTTTTTTTTTTTTTTCATGAAATCCAGCTAATTTTCAACTAATTGCCTTATCAGTTAAGCATCCACTGTTTTTTGCAGTTTGAAATTCTAATTTATAAATAACTCATATGTAGTGAGTAAACACGCATTCTCATCGTGCAACGTGATTTGTAAAAATGCTGATGTCTCTCTTCCAACAATAATAACATTTCACGTAACGTAGTCACGCACGCGATTGATATAATACTTGCATTAACATTTACAGGCAACACTGTCTGCATTTCTGTAATTGCAAATACCTATTCATATTTTTGGAGGAAAAATGAAATCAAAACAGGAAGGTTTTGACAAGAGCGGCAATTAAAGAGAGATTCCAGCAATCGGGACGGGAAATGTTTTTTTCTAAAATTTGTAAATTTTCGAACAATCTCTTCGTGTCTCGTTCTGTCGGTCTTCCTTCTTGTCTATTTGATATTGAAGACGTACATACCAGTGGACCCATTCAAGGTTATATCACCCTACCTGATAAACTTTACCCCTTCCCCTGGCTAAACCCCCATCACTTAACATTTAAAAGTTTTCTGTTACTGTCACTGTGTACATATACATATATGATGTATCGGAGTGTGTGTATATGCGCAGATGTGCATCTGCATGTACATCTGCATGCACATCTGCATGTACATTTGCATGTGCATGTCCAACAACCGATGCTTGAAATATCATTTAAAGCCGGTTGACCTTAATAAATGTTGATACCAAACAATAAAAAATGTGAAAAGAAAAAAAAAAAACGCCGAAAATGGTACTCAATAAATCACATTCATAGAGGGTTTGAAGGGTAACGGATACCTTAGAAGGAAAAAAAAAATTGGAATTCCAAATTTATCAAGTCATAAAATAACTGAAGAACCAATTTTCTGATTATTTGAACCCATTGAGAGTGATCTGCGAGGTTACAATAGCAAAATTTTGATTGATGATGAATATCGGCGAATTAAAAAGCTGAATTAAATTGCATAATGCAGTGAAGAAATCATCAAAAAATGTGTCACAAGATGCTCTTTGAGCATGAAAACCACTTGTTAATATGGTGTGATCAGGAAGGGATCATCTAATCACTGATAACACTTATATACATATCAAATTCGAAAATCATTTCCTGTACTACTATAAAGCACTGTTGCTGAATAATTGAATAAAATGAAATTTTTAAACATTGAAATAGATTTCAATGTTAAATTACTCTCATGAAATTCATCCAAAATGAATTCACAGACTTCAAAGATATATCTAAAAAGTAATCTAAAGCTGATATCATATCATATCGCATCCCTCACACTAATTTTTGAGATATTTTTTATAATGCTCATTGAAAATACAATGATTTTAATTCATTGGTAAGTTGAAAAGAGCGCAATTATAACGAAGTAAATCTTAAAAATATATTTTATCACTAGAAGAAGTCTTTTCAGTAATACTAGAATGTTTCTTGTGATTAGATCAACACTATCAGTTAGTAGAATGATAATGAACAAGAAATGAGCCGAAATGTCTCCCTTTACTTATCGATGTATATTGCGCTTGCTACAAAGCGCAAAGTGAATTGCCGAAGCGCAAAGGGAATTGAACTACGTAGTGATAGAACATTTAAATATTTCAAAAGAATAGTGATAATGAAAAAGCATTGTCAGATTTGAATCAAATGAAAGAATGAGAAGTGGAACGATGAGTTTTTAGAAAACAGTAAACTATGAAACAAATTGCGAAGTTATTTCAAAGCTATTTCATTATTTTAAAAGTAGTAAAATAGATAGTGAAACTTGAAGCGCAAATGATAAGAAAGAGAGATGAAAATATGGGTGACAAGTTTAATGAGTTTGAACAACAATGTACGATTAAAAGAAGATAAGCATAAAAGTTGTGTGCAATCTAAGAAAATCAAACTGTCAAGGGAAAGTGTCATACGATGTCAACCGGTCGCAAAAATGCCCATCACTTAATATGGGTAAAATTGAAGGACACAATGAAGAGGAAAACAGAAAGTCACTGTGACTGCAAGTTTTAGAAGAATAATATTTTCAAATTTAACAGATGAAAATTTCGGAAACTGTTATATATATTTAAATTAAATCTGTTAGGATAAGTAAGTATGAGTTTTTTTTACTGGACACTACAATGTTTCACAGTTATTGCCTTTTTGCTAGAATGATTTAATTAAATTTGATCATAAAGTGCAAAGAAAAAAAAAGTTAGTAGCATAAGGCTTTTAAATTTTGCAAAAAAAAAAAAGGAAAATTTGATTTAATAATTTTTAAAATACAATATTTTCAGTGGAAATAATTGTGAAAATGAGATTTAAATTTTTGATTTTTTGAAAATGGAATTTCTTTTTTTTTGATTTAATAAAAAGTAAAACAAAAAAATACGTTCAGTTTTTAATGTTTTATGTTTAGTTTTTAATTTTTAATAAAAAAAAAAGGAATAAAAGAAAAAAGAAAATGAGAAAGGACGTTAAATGATTGAAAAACTAGTTCCTAGTGATTCATTCATTGGTACCTTTCTGATTGGCATCAACTTACAGCACTGTGATACTTGAAGATGACACTACGGACAAATGTAGGTGACATCTGGACACACAATAAAATTAATGAAATTTGAAATTTAAGAAACGAAGGAACGAATAAGCAAAAGTTCTTTAGTAAATCGATGAATGTAACAATGAATGATTCGGCGCCATCACTTCATAATGATAAAAGATATTCAAAACTTCTTGGAAATTAGGAGTACACGGACTATTTGTCTTCCGGTTATGATTGCTAGGGCGGTTTGATAAAAGATATTCAAAACTTCTTGGAAATTAGGAGTACACGGACTATTTGTCTTCCGGTTATGATTGCTAGGGCGGTCTGATAAAAGATATTCAAAACTTCTTGATGATCATTTGGTCGTGGTCCTCGTTCCCTCTTAATTTTAACATCTAAGACACGAAAGGGTTACGCATGCTGCTTCGATGAATGTCACAGCAGTGTCATTAAAGATGCTGCACCAATAGTGTGACAAAATTATTCAGAAAGTAATAGTGTCCTTATCAGTAATAATCACTAATGCTTGCAAAAGCTTTCACTGAAACTTTAGCGCCAAAGTCTTCATTGAGCAAAAGCGCAATTTTGCTCCCTTCTTCAACACTAAGCCTAGCATTCCTTGTCTTTATGTTACTAATCGGTCATTCTCGATCAGTAAACCGTCTTAAGACAAACTGTTCTAGGCTTATTTACTTAACTTATCTATAACAAGTAACACACGACAGAATCAAATAGTTTTAATTAGTTTGCAATTAATTATCTCCAATAGGAACAGAGTCAAAAGGTGAAAAAAAAAAAAGCTGTCACAAGTTCATAGAGTAAGGACAAAGGACAGAAAGGACAAAAAATTCCGTCCAACATTTTTTTTTTTTTTTCGGATGTTTGAAAACTGAACCAGCGTAACTGAATAGATAACGGAATTTTTAGGTATTTAGAACTATACAAAATGGATTTCAATGTTAAATTACTCTCATAAAATTTGTGTAACTCTCAGAGATTTTAAATTTTTAGTTTAGAAATGTGAAGAAAAGTAATCTCAAATAGAAAACTATTTGAAATGAAGTGTCTTACATTGACACTAATGACAAGGTGACAACTTGTAATTTAGTAATGAATAGATTAATCAAATTAATTGACAGATGAAAATAAAATAATTGCACGAAGGTAAAAAAT